TGCGCAAGTGTAGCTCTCCACAATAGGAACTGTGGCAAGAGAGGCCCCAGGGTGGACACCTGGGCCAGGGAAGTACAACAGTGCTCCAGGTAACTCATACATACCAGGGCACCAGCGTTCCCTGCCAGGTGAGAAGAAATTCTCACATGAACTAAAAATAAACTCCAGATACCAAAACCATTCAACTTATGCCTTCATTTCCAATATGGCCAGTTTAGAATTACCAAGCTTTTGAAGACTCCAACAGCATGAAAAAGAGGACTTAACTAAATAATGAAAAGAATCAATACCTGATATGTGCTGCAATGTGGATGGACTTTGAAAACCTGATGCTAAGTGAAAAAGGCCAGTCACAAAAGCCACATATTACATAATTCCTCTTCTATGAAATGTTCAGAGTATGTAAATCCATAGCGACAGAAAGTAGATTAATGGCTGCTAAGGGATGGGAGGAGGGGAAAATCGGGAGGTAAGGGTTTTTTGGGGGGTGACAGAAAAGTTCTGACGTTAGATAGTGGTGCTAGTTGCACAACATTGTGAATATATGAAAACCCACTAAACTGTAACCTTTTTAAAATTTTTATTTATTAAAGATTTTTACTTATTCATTTGAGAGAGAGAGAGAGAGCACACAAGAAGGTGGAGCAGCAGGCAGAAAGAGAGGGAGAAGCAGGTTGAGCAGAAAGCCCACCATGGGGCTTGATCTTAGGACCCCAGGATCATGACCTGAGACAATGGCAGACACTTAACCAACTGAGCCACCCAGGCACCCCTAAACTGTACACTTTAAAATAATTCAAATTTTAAATTTTACGTAAGATAAATTTTATCTTTAAAAAAATCCCAATGTCGCTATACTTAAATAGAAAAATAATTTAAAAAATACATATTTCTCTTGGGAAAAAAAAACCAAAAACCTCACCAAACTGAAAGCTTTTCCCCTATATACATATCTATGATGTTTCTACAAAAGACCCCCCAAAAATGCAGAAGCCCATCTTGGGGAAATCGTCACCAACACTGTGCACACACAGCAATGGCTACATTTAACCACTGTAAGCATCAGGCCACCATATAGTCTAGAAACCACAGATGGTATCAATACTATAAGAATCATCAATAAGCCAATAGCTATTTAGGACTCAGACAAGACAGGTCGTGCTTAAAGAAATAGGTTGATCTATAACCAAAGAGGTGGCACCTTTGATTGACAGCTCAGGTTCTAAGAAATGAGACCACATAGGGGAGGATGGCTGTCAACCTGGTTTAGAAGGAGCTGTTGCCTCTAGTAACAATCCTCTGGACACGGCTCCCAGCATCCTAACAAGGGACATGAGCAGGAACTTGCTACACTTAGGGAAGCCCAAAGTATCCCACCAGATACTTACAGTTTATTTCCAGGCCCTCCAGTTCAGATACAGTTTATCGATTAGATATTATTTCTACCAGAAGTAATGTTGCCTGGAAACACAGTTGACATGCCACCTTTACCAAGTTACCAGAGTAACTGAGCTAGAAAGTTAACTTGATTTGTCCATAGAAAAGGTTTTTTAACCCTTTCTTCACATCTTACTAGAGACATCTCAGGCCCGTGAGGTCATCCTGGTGGGTGGTTTTAGCTGCATCTCCAAATTTCAGAAACTTAGAAATTCCTACAGGATTTTTCCTTTCAACAGCAAGAAATTGGAAAAAAGCATCAATCCTGATAAGGGCGTTACTTATGTTCGCAGCTATGTAGGCAGCCATCTTGTCCCTAGTCTGGAGATAAATCTGAAAATATTCAGGATTCACTGCTCTTTGGTATTATCCCTTTTCCTAGTAATACTGAAATCACTACTTGTGGTACTGAAAACATTGGTGAAGTCATGACTATTCTGGTTAACTGCAATAAACAGTTCATTCCAAATGAAATTAGACCTTTGCTATGTACTCTATGAAACTGAGCAAAGATGAAAGATCACAACCAGTTTGGCCAGTTTGAACTCACAAACATCCTTCCTGTACCCTTTAGATTTGTACAAGTTGAAGTAACTTTTGATACTGATAACAGCATCTCAGATATATTTGCACTAGATAAGAGATCAAGAAAAGAGATTAAAAGAGCAATGTCATGGTATTTGAGCATGGAAAATATTGGGTATATGGTTCAAGAGGCTTAAAAGTATAAAGCTAGAGATGAGAAGTAGAGAGGCAAAATATCCCCTACAAACATGCTCTGATCCTATGTATTCAACAGTAAGGCCATGGTGGAAGATGAGACCCATCAAAGCAGAAATAAAGATGATGCCAGACAGAAGATTCTTGGTAGGTTCAATGGAATCATCAAATGGCTGGTGAAGAATCAGATTACTGAGATTACATGAACATAAAGAGCTGGAGATGGCTTTCCTTTGTCCCCTGGAACTTAATGTCTTTCAGCATAATCACATACATCTTCACTCTTCTCTGAATGGACCCTTCGTCTCCTTGCTCTAACTAAAACTTGAATGTTCCTGGAGGACCATGTTTCCCTTGTAGGCCTCTAAAATGGTAGATTCTTCCCCCAACCTCCATCACTCATCTAGTGGGCCTGGAGATGGAGTCTATGTTCCTCCTGATACTCATTGCCACTTGTGAACTCTTGGCCTTCCCTCCTGCCTGAAACCTGCATCCAGCTTTGAATCTCAAGTTATGAGACTACCCCACTCCACCCTTTTCTGTTGCAGTCAACTATTCTCTGTGTTGTACTCACTCCCTCTCATTGCTTATTGACTTACTATTGCTCTTATTTACACTACTCCTATTCTCATTGTTTCAAAATCCACTCAGATGTTCGTTCTAACACTCAGGCCCATCAGTCCCTTGAATTCTTCTACTCCAGTGATATTTTCCACTATAGTACTTCAGTCATTCAGTCTGGAGGACTCATATTAAACATTAACAACCCAGGCACTACATAACCCTCCTTGTTAAGCATAATTTATCTTTCCACTCACTCCCACTGGTACATGGATTCCAATAATCCTTCAGTCCAGGGATCTACCATCCACTGATCATATTATTGTTTATCATCCTTCAGCCTCCCCTTCCCCCACCACGTCCTTTCCAAACTCGCTTAATTTTGATGGCCAATTACGTAACTACCCTCTTGAATGCATCTCTAATACACTTGCTCCCTCTTCTTATCTGCAGGGCTTCCCCCATTCTGGTTTAAATCCAACTCTTTGCCTGCCTGCACTCACATAGCTAAATGTAGCTAGAAAAAGAAACATTGTAAAAGTACTATAGGCCAGTGGCATTTATTACTGACATTTGTATTTCTTGACTACTGGTTTATGTGAAAATAAAAACAGGGGTAAAGGAGATTGATCAGAGAGTTTTGCGGTATAGAATTAAAAGGCACCTTGTCCCAATAGATAGTGGAAGTTGAAGGAGGTAGAATTAAAAACAGCTTAAGTTTCCAGCCTAAAAGCCTTGTGTTGTAAACAAATGTTTAAGATCTTTCACCTATTACTGCATCATTAATTATCAAAAGGAGCAAGTTCTTATTACAGATTAGGAAACTAGTTCTCAGGGAGTTTATGCAACATTTAAGTTCCCAGTCATTAAATGGTAGAATTTCTTGAAAGCCAAGATTGCTTCTATAGCTGTGTTCAGCAAAACACTATTTTTTGAATAAGTTCTTTAAAATTTGTTTTCTATTATAAAACAGACCAGAGCCAGATTCATAGTGAGCAACAGTCCTCTCAGGATCGTCATTCAGTTCCATTCCCTCACTTCAAAAAGAACTAAAGCCCAAAGTGGTGGTGTGATTTACTAAGTGGAAGACCTACGATTAGAATTCAGATTCCCCCAGCTATTGCCATTAACTCGACCTCTGAGAATAGGGCCAATTAAACGGAATTACATCTGCTTCTCAGGGAGAAAAAAAAAAAAATCGAATGGTTATTGAACAAAGGTTGAAAGAAGACCTCTTCATAGTCCACAGAGCTTCCAACCTTAATTGCCTCAAGTGGATCCTCCAAGTACATAATTGCATCCTTTAACAAAGATTCCTTCTCATAGGTGGAATCGTGAATGTTGTGGTGGTTCCATTATTGTCCTCGAACTGGAAATACCCAAAATGAAATGCAGGGGACCGCTGACGGCACATTCCACCAGCAGAGTGCGTCATTGCAGAAAAAGAAGCCGGGATGAGGGAAATTTCGACCCCACCCAGGGCCCAAGAAAGGAAAGCCCAACGCAGATTGGTTTCTGCTGGAGAAGACCGGCGTCGATACCTGTACTGGGTAACGGTCAGCTCAGCCTCGGGCTCGGCCCCAAAGCCCGGCAAGTGCTGGTTCAGATAGGCCTCTAGGGACCCTCTGTCGAACTTGTGCTGGGGCAACACTTCGGCCGTGTCGGGCTCGGGGGAAGCGTCGGGTTCCATGGCTGCGGCTGCGGCTGCTACTGCCGGCCGCAGAGACAAAGATTCCACAGGTTCTGGGCGCTCAGAGCCCTCGGGGGCAGAGTCCTACTCCACAGCCAGGGGGCGAGGCCCGGACGCGACCCGGCGGAGATGACCCAGCCGCTCCAGCCAATCACACTCCCCCTCGGTCTGGTGACTTAGGCTCTAACTGGGACGTGCCAGAGAACCTCCGCGTTCTCGCTTTTAACAAATTTTCATTCAATCTCACAGTCGGAGGCCGCAGTCTTCAAGAAGGCAAACCCCTGTTAGTCGCCACGGGCAATTAGGAACGCAAAGGCCTTGTCCCACCCCAAATTTACTGTACCGGCAGCCGCAAGACCTACGGGTCCGGCTCAGAAAAGGGTCCGTCAGGCCCGTGAGCCCAGGAATAAAAGATCCTAGCCGCCGGGCTGGATAGGCAATATCGCAGGCCGTGGGCTTTGGACGCTAAGGACCCCCGGCCCTGCTGGGGCCCTGTCTCTTAGGACCAGGCGAAGAAGGAAGCTAAGGGGGGGGGGGGCGTTTTGGTTTGTTTCGTTTTTCCTGAGGGGGAGCGATGATTGCAACGTACCGGAAGCGGTACCGAGGGAGGCCCGCGGGAGCGGCGGCGACGTGTCGCCTGTGCGGCGCTGGGAGCACTTCCCCAGGGTTCTGGGCTAGGAAGGCGGCGGCTGCGTGTCTCCTCACCCACCCTTGGCGGAGCCAGCGGGCCTGGCAGCGTGGGGCGGCGGCGGCGGCGGCGAAGGCCTGGGCTGGGAGCGTTGGCGGCCGGGGTCCCAGCCATGGCCGAGTCCGTGGAGCGGCTGCAGCGGCGGGTGGAGGAGCTGGAGCGGGAACTGGCACAGGAGAGGAGTCGGCGGGCCGTGGGGGGCGGCGACGGAGGAGGCGGCCGGGTCCGCATCGAGAAGATGAGCCCGGAGGTTGTGGACTCCAACCCCTACAGGTATTTGCGTTACGGGTGGGAGGCGGGCGAGGGCGTGAGGTCAAGGTCTGCGAGTGGTCAGGACCGAGGCGCGCTCCCTTCCTTCCCTGCTTACACGGCCTTCCACCTCCCTCTTCTTGCGCTGGGTCCTGCTCCCAAACGTGCAAGGCCAAGTCTCAGCAGTGGTGGAAAGATAGTCTTCCTCTTAAAACACACCCACCCACCCCCGAAACAATCAGCCATATGGTGCTGCTCTTGGGCCTGCTACGGATACGCGACCGGTTTCCTAATGCCCCTGTTAGTCTACCTCATTCTGCATAAAGCTGATAGTAATTAACTTTCAGAAGATGACATTAAATGTAATACCCACTCGCTAGTAAACCTCGAGTTTCATAAAGGCTTCTCAGTAGTTCAAAATTGGGGACGTGGTGGGGAGAGCAGGATTAGCTTTTTTAAAGCTGTTCGACTTGACCAGCCGTGTCCGGTCCTGTCCTTTCAGCGGGCTGAATGTAGTGCAGTGGTTATAAAAGTAAAGACTTTAGAGCCAGAGCGATCGGATTCAAATCCCAGCTCTTAGTAGCTGAGCAGCCATGGAAAATATTTCTGTATATAGTAGGGACCAGTGGTATCAGTGAAATCTTCAGATAATACCTGAAACTGAAAATCCAGAAGTAACAATGCTGGCAAGCTATTTAGAAATTTGTTAGTAACAGTTGAAAATGAGGAAGGAGAGGAATAGGAGAGTCGGGATCAGAAGCCTGCAGAATTTCCTAGCAAGCCTGGTAGAACTATTTGACTCTTTAAAGTGTAAATGAATGGGAAGTTTATGTATATGTACATAGATTTAATCATATATATATATATATGATTAAATCTATGTACATATATATGATTAAATCTATGTACATATATTAGTCTGTTTCATATATATGATACAGACTAATATGAATAACCAGGTAAAGTACCTCTTAAGAGTACTTGGCTGCAGTTGGTGCTTACTAAAAGCAGACATCTATATCCATTATGGGCAGAGACAGCTGATGTTAAACATTATTTACATATGCTAAGAAAGCACAGAAAAATGTTGAAATTTCACTTTGACTTATCTCCTCTGGACACGTAACATTTAAGTCAGTTGCTTCCATCTTGGCTGCACATTAGAGTATCTAGGAGCATTAAAAAAAAAAAAATCTTGTTGCACAGGCTACACATGGAAGGATATTCAGTGTTTTTTTAAAGCTGCCCAAGTGACTTAATTTCATCTGGTAAAAGCCAGCTGAAAGATTTCTCTTAAAGCATTAGTAGTGATTGAGTTTGTGTTTTTCTGTGATGATGTGTGTTTACCTATATCACAAATAAAAGATTGTAAACTTTAAAACATTCATTTTTTTTCTTTGTTTTAAGCCGCCTGATGGCATTGAAACGAATGGGAATTGTAAGCAACTATGAGGTATGGTAAACCTTTCCAAGTTTTTGAAGATGATTTCAGTAAATGAAAATAATTTCTGATGACATTTTGGATGAAAAGTAAACCAACAAATAATATAATTTTGCATTTCACAGAAAATCCGAACCTTTGCTGTAGCAATAGTAGGTGTTGGTGGAGTTGGTAGTGTGACTGCTGAAATGCTGACAAGATGTGGCATTGGTAAGGTAAAAACATTTCTCTTTGCCTATCACATAGGGAAGCTGCTCATTTCTGGAGTGAATCAGGTATAAATTAGGAATTTTTTTCATTAACTAATGGTTTATTGATTTGCACTGTCTTTATTCATACTATACTTTCTACCTACAGGAGTTAAGACACAACCCCACCCAAATGGAAACTGATACTAATGCTGATAAAACAAGGAATATTCAAAATTTTGTTCAGAGATTTTGTGTTTGGGATGATACATATTACAATTTGGGCTTAAATGTTTTAGATACAGAAGCTTAGGAGACAAGGCTGTTAAATTATTAGTGTGTGAAACACAGGCATCTAACAAATGTTTTCTAAACATGCTCTGTACAAGATGAACTAGAAAGCCATGTACCTTTTTTTTCAAAGAATAGTGGCCCTTTATTAACTTATTTAGAAGTATTTAAAAAAATTTATTGTAGTTGACATAGAGTATTAGTTTCAAGTCTACAACACAGTGAGTGATTTCAGCAGTTCTGTGCATTACTCAGTGCTCATAAGTACACTCACCACCTGTCACCATACAACATTATAACAGCGTTACTGACTATATTTCCTGTAAGGCTGTGCTCAGCCTTATAAAAGAAAAAAATCTTGTCATTCATGACAACATGGATGGTCCAGAGGGTATTATGCTAAGTGAAGTAAGAGAAAGACAAATACTGCATGATTTCACTTATATGTGGGATCTAAAAAACAAAACAAATGAACAAATGAAAAAACAGACTGTTAAGTGCAAAAAACAAACTGGTTGCTAGAGGGGAGGTGGGTGGGAAGATAGGTGAGATAAGTGAAGAGGATTAAGAGATAAAACTTGTAGTTAGAAAGTAAATATCCTTCTTACTCTTAAAATTGAAATGGAGGGGAGTCTGGGTGGCTCAGTGGGTTAAGCCGCTGCCTTCGGCTCAGGTCATGATCTCAGGGTCGTGGGATCGAGTCCCACATCGGGCTCTCTGCTCAGCAGGGAGCCTGCTTCCCCCTCTCTCTCTCTCTCTCTCTCTCTCTGCCTGCCTCTCCATCTACTTGTGATCTCTCTCTGTCAAATAAATAAATAAAATCTTTACAAAAAAAAATTGAAATGGAGAATACTCTAGATTTTTTTTTAATCCATACGTTTTTTCTTTCACTTTTTTCTAAAATTGATTAGGTTATGGGTAGGAAGGAGAGATAACCTTATACCAGTCTCAGATTTATAAAGCTAAAGTTTGTGATGTTTGATTCCTAATGGTTGAATGACAAAGCTTTCCACAATTGATTTCCACCTCTTTAATTTGTCATTTTGACAAAGCAAGCATTTTTCCCCCGCGAGAGAGGAGGAAGCAGGCTCCCTGCCGAACAGAGAGGCCAATGCGGGGCTGGATCCCAGGACCCAGGGATCATGACCTGAGCTGAAGGCAGAGGCTTAACCCACTGAGCCACCCAGGTGCCCCTTTCCCCATGAAGTTTATCGGTGCTTTTTAACATGTTGGTCTGCCACATGCCACAATTTTTTTTTTTTTTTGAAGATTTTATTTATTTGAGACAGTGCGTGCCTGAGCACGAGCAAGCTGGGAGTGGGGGCAGGGGCAGACAAGCAGACTCCGCAGTGAGCACAGAGTCCAGTGTGGGGCTTGATCTCAGGACCCTGAGATCATGACCTGAGCTGAAATCAAGATTCGGACACTTAACCAGCTGAGCCCCTCAGGTGCCTCCATGCTCCAAATTCTTAAAAGAAGTGGTTTTAAAGTTGGCCCTCATCAATACAGAAAAGGCAATACAAAAATAACTAAAAATGTTTATTAACATTTATAGTCTTTCAAGAAGCTTATAAAATCCAGTCAACAATTGCTTATAGTTGATGTAAGGACCGTGGCTGATTGGCCTGGCATAGTAGAGATCATGAAGATTATGGGTCTCAGGGTTGAGTGTGCTTCAGAATCACTTAGATGATTAAAACCTGATTGCCAGACCCTACCCCAGTGATTTTGATTCTTTAGTTTTTGAGTGGACCTAAGAATTTGTATTAAATCCCCAGGTGATTCTGATGTTCTGGGGGGATTTTTAAGAACTGCTGGATCCTTGCCACTCAGTCTGATGCCCAAAGTAGTAGCATCAGCATTATATGGGAGCTTGTTAGAAATAAATACTCCCAGGCCCTACCCTAGGTATACCAAATTAAGAATTTTAACAAAACTCCACATGATTCATATGCATATTAAAGTTAGGGCAGTGCCTCTATATTTCCAGCAAGCTCCCGGTGATACTGATGGTGCTAGTCCAGGCCACGTTTTGAGTAGCAAGACTGTAGAACGGTGGTTATTAAATATTGCTGTAATTAGAATCACCTGGGAAGTTCAACAAATTTTGATAATCCAGAATGGAATAGAATCAATCTTTGTGGATGGGACCCAGACATCAGTATTTTTTGAAAAACTCTCCTAGTGATCCAGTGTGCATTCAAGTTTATCAGTTAAGGATCTACATAGGTTAAGTTTCAGAACCTTTTCATTATGTAAAACAGATAAAGAAGAAGCTAATTTATGGTTAAATAGGGAAGTGGAGGATTGGAGAATCAGAGCCCACCTTTTACCCCTTCTGTGGTGTCCTGGATCACCAGATCTAGATTAGCTGCTTTATTTTACAGCTGAAGATACAAGCCTAAAAAGTGAGTGACAGAGCTACAACTCATACCTCCTATCCCCAAATTTGAGATTTCCTTAATTTATAAACCACCTATCAGGCTGGAGACTCAAATTTCATACTTGGCCTGACCTAATAAATACTGTCTACTGAGCTGAAATAAACTATATTTTGTTTTAAGTTGAGTCAGAAAATTATCATAGAGGGCAGACAGGGGTGATGTATTTTCTAGCAAGATAATAAGTTACCTGAGTTGTAGGTTGGATTAATTTTGTTACTGTTGTTAATAAGATCCCCCCACTTCTTTTTTATTCCTTTTTGTAAATTTTAGTGTGTGCAGGACAGTGTACCATAAGCCACAGCTCCCTTAACCGCTACTGTAGCCTTTGCCTCTGTGCTTGTCCTGCCCGGCCTTTTCCTCCTTTTTTTTTTTTTTTTTTTTTAAATCTAGAATGCTGAGAATTGTGTTAAAAAGTCACAGAATTTTAGATGAAGGAAGGGACTTTGGATACATTTGAGTGCAACCTCATAATTTCTTACTGATAAGAAATGGGATCTTTAAAAGGTGTATGTATGAGTGTTGAGTGTGAGAAATGCTGTTGTGCCTAAATATATAGAGAAGGAAACAACAATTAACTTACTGGTTAATAATTCTCTTTGGGGTGATATTTTAGCCAGGGCTAAGAATGGTGTCCTAGTCACAAAAGGAGTCATGTTATACTATAATTTTAAGTTAGGACATTTGTTATTTTAAAATTTCATTTATCTACTATGTTCTTGGCTTTTAGTAAACAATTAAAATGAAATGGAATTTCTCAGTGAATCATTTAGGGAGACAGTTAAGTGTTATGGTTCAGGTGCAGATGCTGGGTTGAGAATGCCTGAATTTGAATCCCATTGTCATGTATATTAGTTGAGTGGCTTTGGGGTGTGTGCCATAGTTGTCTCATTTATACCTATATGAGCACTAAATGAATTAATATAAGATACCTAGTGTTTTTGAGTTAGTTTGTATTATTACTGTCAAACTGTTAAACCCACCAAATGTGAAGTCCACTAATTTGTTCTCTGTTATTGTTATTTTTAGTTTATATTTTGATATGTTTTTCATCAGAATACCACTATTTTCATTTTAGTTGCTACTCTTTGACTATGACAAGGTGGAACTGGCCAATATGAATAGACTTTTCTTCCAGCCTCATCAAGCAGGATTAAGTAAAGTTCAAGCAGCAGAATATACTTTGAGGTAAATGGAATAACAGTTAAAGACTATATTTAGTGAAATCTTAGTTTGTGTATTTTGTATAAGTTAATGCATAAATTTGGGGTGTTTGGGTGGCTCAGTTGGTTAAGTGACTGTCTTTGGCTCAGGTCATGATCCTGGAGTCCCAGGATCAAGTCCCACATTGGGCTCCATGCTCAGCAGGGAGTCTGCTGCTCCCTCCGACCCTTTCCCCTCTTGTGCTCTCTCTCTCTTGCTTTTGCTCAAATAAATAAAATCTTTTAAAAAAAAAGTTAATGCATAGATTTTTCTCCATAAAAATTCAGGTTTTACTTCTACAAATTGTCTTACCTCTTGGAACGGGGTTGGCAACATTTTTCTGTATAGGGCTAGATAGTAAATATTTTAGGCTTTGAGGGCCAACTATGAAACTGCCCAGCTATGTAGTGGTAACAGCTGTAGGCAGTAGAAAAATGAATGAGCATGGCTGTGCTCCAATAAAACTTGGTTTATGGACTCTGAATTTTAAATTCCATATAATTTTAGCATGTTATGAAATACTGTCCTGTTCTGCCACCATGTGAAAAAGGAAAAATCATCTGTAGCTTGCGGACTTCATAAAAACAGGTGGTAGGTAAGATTTGCCCAAGGGCTATACTTTGCAACCCTTACTCTAAGAAGTTTCTTTGTGGCCTCAAACATACTTGCACTGAATTAAATAAGGAACAAAGAAGCTCTTTTGTCAGGCTAGGCTGTAGCAGACAGAGGTGATAAAGGCTTAATTCTGAGCACATGCATGGTGGGAACATTTCTGTAATCCTATAGTCGACACATTTTGAATGTCGTCCTTGAAGTGGGTCAAAGGAAATAGAAGAAGGATTTTCTTTGAATAGCTTGAATTCCATTTTTCTAACTCTGTTAAATGATCTTTTTCAGCTCTTTTTCTTGCTTTACTTACTATTCCCACTGTAGTTTAATAATTACTCCTTTTTCCTTCTTAGGAATATTAATCCTGATGTTCTTTTTGAAATACACAACTATAATATAACCACAGTAGAAAACTTTCAACATTTCATGGATAGAATAAGGTAAAATTTTATTTATGAATATTTTGCAATGTCCAGCTCAGTTAAACAAGTATCATTAGAAAATCTACTGATCTGTATGTAACTCAGTGAGATGGTAGATTTGATACATGTTTCTGTTTTTAAAATAGTTATTTTTATGTGACCTTTATATATTAAGAGCTCTGTAAAAAGTAAATATTGTCCAAAAAACAATAGTAGTAACAATAAAAAACCAAACCCTGTTAAAATGATAGAAAAACTGATCTTCAACTATAAGTTCTGTGTTCTAGATTATATTTCTTTGTGAAAGTGGTTTTCTGCAGACAGTTGTAACACTACTGAGATACTGAATTATATTCAGTTTTTATTACATTTACATTTGGAGTGAAACCTGAATAAAGTCTGAAAGCTGATAAGGCAATTGTAACTTCTGTGAATAGACCTTATACTTTTTGTGCCAGGCAAAGTACTGTAATATCATTGATACTCATATTAGTCACTCAATACATACTAGATCTTTAATATTAAATACTATGTCGTAATTATACTCAAACATTTACTGAAAGAATAAGTGTGTGCCTGAAGAAATACAGTCTAACTAGAGTGTATTTTGTGTCCTGATTTTTTTTTTTTTTTCCCAAATAAAATTTATTTTCTTTACCTAGTAATGGTGGATTAGAAGAGGGAAAACCTGTTGACCTAGTTCTTAGCTGTGTGGACAATTTTGAAGCCCGGATGACAATAAATACAGTAAGTATCCCTATTGTATAAGAAGTTACACTCATGGGCTTATCCATTTTTTTTTTTTTTTTGGTATAGTTCTGCATTTAAGAATAGTTCTGCATTTAAACCTTCATGTAATATGTTTTGTTAATTTTTAATTATTTCTTACCCTACTTTTGAAATACTAATAACTCTGGGATATGTCTAGCCTTGCTGGTATGGCTTCTGTTTCAGTATCCTATTCTCTCTTATGCCAGTAGAGGCAACTATAACATTGCAGATACTTCTGATACATAATTTTTAAAATAAGTGACAGTCTTAAAATGTCTCTAACTCTGTTAGCATTGGTTTTAACGTTTGTTAAGTAAAGATAGAAATATGTATAAACTGCCTACAAATCTGGTTTCTCAGAGATAAAATTCTTTGAAATACCATGTTTTCAGTTTTTTCAAAAGATATTTTGCAGTTTTTGTTGCTGAAATTATTTTAGAAAAATGAATTTTTTACCTTAATAAGAAAGATGTATTAGACAATAAGCCTAATAGTTGAATATAGTTAAATAAATATTTATTGGGTATTTACTTAAATGCTGTCTGTTTACTTTTTAAATAAAGTGGCATTTGCCAAGGAATTCCAATATTCGTAACTTTCCTCTTTTGAAAAATTAAAAAAAACCCTTGGTAATCCATTTAATTAAATCCCAATTTTTGATGAAAAAAACTTATAGTAAATTACTTCTTTTTATGTTCTTATGTTTTCATCTGTTTCTACCAAGGCTTGTAATGAACTTGGGCAAACATGGATGGAGTCTGGGGTCAGTGAAAATGCAGTTTCAGGGCATATACAGCTCATAATTCCTGGAGAATCTGCTTGTTTTGCGGTAGGTTTGATTCATTTTGGCTTATTTTTTTCACTATTAAGTACTAGAGTTCCAAGGGGTATTCAAAAATGTATTCAGAGAAAAACTTCGAATGCGATGGAATACTATTTTGAGCATGTTACACTTTTCTCCTTTTGTTTTGAAATATATTTTCTTTCATTCTTTTTCATGTAGTGTGCTCCACCACTTGTAGTTGCTGCAAATATTGATGAAAAGACTCTGAAACGAGAAGGTGTTTGTGCAGCCAGTCTTCCTACCACAATGGGAGTGGTTGCTGGGATCTTAGTACAAAATGTGTTAAAGTGAGTGAGGGCTAATTTTTCTGAATAGTCTTGTTTGTTTTTGATAAAAATATGTTTCAGAAAGCATTTCAAATATTGGAGTTACCAGCTAAGTATTTATTTTTTTAAAAATCTAGTTTCAAGTATATGTAAGTTTTTAAATATATGTATAATACATATGTACTTTAATTTACATACATATCCTAGTATATCTAATTTAAATATAAGCATACATATTAATACACATATGTCACTATGTATTTGTAATAGTTCATGTTAAATGGTACAGTGGAACTGGTGTATTTATATATGAAGTATTAACCAAATGATTTAAATCTCTGCGGTTTTGACCAAAGGGCATAAACACACTTTCTTACTTAATTCTTACTAAAAATAATATGAATGTGATTAAATATTAATAAGGATAATATCTCTGCTAGCCAAAAACAGATATTCAGCAACCACACCATCTAAACTATAGGAATAAAGGAGGGCAAAGATTTCTTTGCAGCTAAAATTAATTTCAAAAGGTTTTTGAACCAACTCACACTTTATAAAAAGCAGAACCCCTTTAAGGGTTCTCTATCTCAGGCCATTTTTTTCCCTCACTTTACAGCTTTAGAAAGCTTTTTTATGTTTCCTAACCCTCAAGTGTAATAAGAACAAATTGCAGCATGATATAGAGAGGTACCCTGATACCAGAACCATAAGCTACCAACAAAAAAAATTGTAAAAAGCATACATGAGAACTCTCCAGGCAGCTGTCTAGGGCTAGTTCATAGAATTAAACTTCACAACTGTGCAAACTGTATAAACTTCAGTAGGCCCTATCTAAAAACGTTTTACAGTATGCTACAAAAAACGGGGGGGGGAATCATGGTTATAAACTATTCTGTTAAGGATATGTCATATTTAGTCAGCCCCTTATTGATGGACATTAAAGTTATTTACAGATTTTTTTGCTTCTGTTAATGCTGCAAACAACATCTTACATATATTTTTGTATAGTAGATTTTTATAGATACAGATTTTTAGAGGTGGAATTTCTGAGTTTATGCAGTATTTGACAGTATTAAATTTCTCTTTCAAAAATACACATTTCTATCATAGTGTAGGAATACCTGGTTCACCCACACTAGTTGACAACATTTGGTATCATTAGACTTCTTAATCTTTCTTAATATGATGGGTGAAAAAGGGTATCTCATTTTAATTTTCAGTTGTTTATGGAAAGGGGTAAGCACTTATATTTTTCTGTGAATTGTCCGCTTCATATCATTTGGTCAGTTTTCTGTCTTTTAAAATGTTTTTTTTTTTTTATTTATTTGATAGAGACGAGGGAATACAAGCAGGGGGAGTGGGAGGAGAAAAGCAGGCTCCTCACTGAGGAGTCTGATGTGGGGCTCGGTCCTAGGACCCTGAGATCATGACCTGAGCCAAAGGCAGATGCTTAACTTCTGAGCCACCCAGGCTCCCAGTTTTTTATCTTGTTATATATTAACATTCATTGCAAATATTTTTCCTTTTGTAATTATTTTGTATGTGATTTTTTCCCCCCCTCTTCATATAAGCTTCTAAAAGGAATTAGATTTGACTAGTAGGGAGCACAAGGGCACACTGGAAATGTTCTGTTTTTGATCTGGTAGTGATTACATGGGTGAAGACTTGGACAATTTCAGTGAGCTGTACATTTAAGATTGTAAACTTTAAATTGTGTATAAAAACTTCTAAAAAGTAGTTAGATTTAGTACCATATCTCAGGAATTCTTCACTTTGACATCAGTACTTAAAGTACCATTTTGTTAGAAAAATCATTAAGTACTTCAATACCATTTCTTAAAAATTCAGTTATTTCTAATACTTTTATGGTTTATTTAAGTGTGCTTTGATTTGTTTTTCTAGGTTTCTGTTAAATTTTGGTACTGTTAGTTTTTACCTTGGATATAATGCAATGCAGGACTTTTTTCCTACCATGTCCATGAAACCAAATCCTCAGTGTGATGACAGAAATTGCAGGAAGCAGCAGGAAGAATATAAGGTATACATCCATCCATCAGAATATATGAGAGTTTATATTATTTGGATAATAATTGAAAACAGTTACTTAGATTTGGAATATAAGATAAATGGATTCTGGATTTTGAAGGTTTTATTTATTGTATCTCTAAGTTAGAAATGTTAGTAAAAAATTCACCATGTTTCAAAAGTGAAAAATCTCTCTGAAGTTCGTTCTTGTTTTTGGTAAAGTAAAAAGCCTGTCTGAATTCTTGCTCAACGCTTCAAAGGCCTGAGAGTACGAACACTTTGATACTATTTGATTTCTACAGAAAAAGGTAGCAGCACTGCCCAAACAGGAGGCTGCTCCAGAAGAGGAAGAGATTATACATGAAGATAATGAATGGGGTAGGAATTCTTTCATGAATTGAAATGGCAGTGTCAAATCTCTTATGGGAGGAGATATAATTTTAATTACACAGATTTGAGTTAATTATTGCTTAAGTTGCTTGAAAACTGTTATCATATTTAACTTTATAGGTATTGAGTTGGTATCCGAGGTTTCAGAAGAGGAACTGAAAAATTCTTCAGGTCCAGTTCCTGACTTACCTGACGGAATTACAGTGGCATACACAATTCCCAAAAAGGTATGCTCAAAATCTGGTTTATCATAAGTATATGTTACATAAGAGAAAATCTTTACTTATCTTCTTTCATCTTCATCCTATTTTATAATGCAAATGCAATATTTACTATTTTAGATATTTTACACTATGGGCATTAAGATGTGTAAGAGAAGGTGTTCAGTGTTGATGTGGAAATAGGCACAGTGCCTTTTTTAAAGGTATTTATTTATTTATTTGACAGAGAGAGACACAGTGAGAGAGGGAACACAGCAGGGGGAGTGGGAGATGGAGAAGTGCTGAGCAGTGAGCCCAACGGGCACATGGCCTTTTAAACTGAAACACAGACCTAAAATAGTATTCCTGACTCATGAATGGATCAGATACAGTAGATTTTGATTAAATGAAGATAATATTTTTGTATATTGATCATTTTAGCTGTAATACCATTTTAAAAATACCACTGCAGTAGAGATCTCAAGAATATTGAAATTATGGCCTTGTAAATCAAAAGATTGGTGGGGAATGTAAAGGATTTTGTCTGTCCTAAAAATTAGAAGGCATCTTTCTTAAAGTTTACTTTGTGAACTACTTGAACATGGTTAAAACTTAGTGATTATATATTCCTAAGCATCACAAATTTTATATGGTTATTTTTTTCACTATGTTTCCCTCATTTGTTGATAGCAAGAAGATTCTGTAGCTGAAGTAACTGTGGAAGATTCTGGTGAAAGCTTGGAAGACCTTATGGCCAAGATGAAGAATATGTAGATAATGGACTGACCTATATTTTATTTCCTGAGTTAAGCCTATACCCTTGCAATTAAAAAAAAAAAAAAAACATTTAAAAACTGAGAAAGCTTAGGGCAAGATTACTTGATATATAATCTTCATAGAATTGTTACACTTTTTGAAAATAGTGTTGTTTGTCCCTTTTTCTCTTTAACTAAATCCATAACTCCTAAAACTCATGTTTCAATCTAGTTAAAACTTGAAAACCCAGCCACTGAAATACTTTGCCCTTTTGGGAGGGGTTGGAAGAAAGGATCGATATGATGTTCTATTTGTTCTCCTTCCAGTAATCCTTTGTGGTCTGTGGCCCAAGACCATGGATAATAAAGTAGTATGTGGTTCTCAAATATAGGGAAAGGACAGGAGGTACAATCAATTGATTAGAGCTAGCAGATATCTACTCATTTTATGTAGAATCCCTCTCTATAAGAAAACTGTCCACTGTTATTAACTTGGCCAACAATGAATTTAAAATAGTTAATCTATAAAATAAAAAATATCCTCTCAAATGTTAACCTAAATACAAGCTAAAATGTAGTCATCGGAAAAGTTTGTAAATCTGTGAATTCAAAACAAGACAAAGGCAAATAAAAGTAAGCTTTCTTCATGGATTAATAAAGGTACTTTCAGGAAGTAAAAATTATATTTCTGTACTAACCAAGGAACAGAACTCCTTGCATGAGTAGAACATATATCTGGAGTCACTGCACTTTATTGAGGAGCAAGGAGTACATGTAGTTTAAGATTATCTAGATTATACCTGTCATATGGGCTACCTTCTGAGTACTTCATTTAAATTTGATTCTCTAGAGATAGTTGTCCTGTATTGGCATAAAAGAGACCTAAATTACCTCGATAATGACTGACATGTATTTATTCACTGGAAGAGTATCATTTACCCTGATCATGGCCACTAAATTATAAATTGATAAATTGGTTTTCTCTAAATGAAATACAAATAATGAAAGCTTAGAGAGCCTTAGTTAAATTTCCAATGGTTTGGAGACCAATGAAAAATACGCATATGTAACCAGTATCAGTAGAATGTTACTATACTATGCTAATCTACTTTGATTTTTTTACTTGAAGATATGAATGATTAAATCGTATCTCTAGGGAAGAAATGTTAGTACAAAATGAAAAATGCAATTTCCACTTATAAATTTCTAAAGTCTGATTTCAGAAAGTCCCAAATATCAAATATGTTCAGTATATTTGCTTTGAGATTGTAGAATCATATAGTGATTCTTCTGTTTAGAATAAGGTTAGGAGGGGCGCCTGGGTGGCTCAGTGGGTTAAAGCCTCTGCCTTCAGCTCGGGTCATGATCCCCGGGTCCTGGGATCGAGCCCCACATTGGGCTCTCTGCTCAGTAGGGAGCCTGCTTCCCTTCCTCTCTCTCTCTGCCTGCCTCTCTGCCTACTTGTATTCTGTCAAATAAATAAAATGTTTAAAAAAAAAAAAATAAGGTTAGGAAAGGAAGGGAGTGGTAGCCTTGAAACTTATGTTGCCTTGGTAGGTCATTTGCCATTAAAAAAATTAGTGAATTCATCTGTAAAACATTTTTTTCCTAGTTATGGGAGATATTTTGAACTTCAGAAAAAAAATGTAGTCTTTCTAAAAATAATCCCATTCCTTTGGAACATCTGGTATACTGATTCAGTCAGGCTTTGCTTACAAATTTTTTTTTCTTTTTTTTTTTTAAGTAAGCTCCATACCCAGCATGGAGCCCAACACGGGGCTTCAACTCACAACTATGCTTTGCTTATAATTTAAAGATTGTATAGTTTGATAAAGTATAATAGCCAGAACTTACCCTTGTTCTGCTCAACATGGCATTCATTGTGCACTGTTGGTGTCTTAACACTGTACCAACTATTTTTACCTAAGTTATCTAATTTGTCTAATGTCTTCCATTAAAAAATAGTTGGATGATTTACCAGGAAAAAAATCTGGTAACAGGTATCTTTTGCTACCTGGAGTGCTCTCTTGGCAGTCTGTATGCCATGGGGGAAAAAAAAATATATATATATATACATATAAATATATATATATATATATATGTATATATACATATATATATAAATAATGTATACACACACACACACACACACACACACACAGTGTGGCCGATTTTGGGAAATTAATTATCACCAAGTTTTACATTACTAAATAAACCCCTAGTGCTTGACCATATTTTTAAACACTATCTAAAGTGAAAGAAGGAAACACACTCCCCAAATTGCCATAGCACAAAGGCTCTAAATTACAGTAAAACAGTATGTTCAGGTTTAACCCCTTCCCCATTGTGAATGGGAAGTTAATTTATGTATCACTTAAATGTTTTATGTAGTGAAAAAATGTATCCTAGGTTTTCTCACATAGAAACACTCCTTGAGGGACGCCTGGGTGGCTCAGTTGGTTAAGCGGCTGCCTTCGGCTCAGGTCATGATCCCAGCGTCCTGGGATCGAGTCCCACATCGGGCTCCTTGCTCGGCGGGGAGCCTGCTTCTCCCTCTGCCTCTGCCTGCCTCTCTGTCTGCCTGTGCTTGCTCACTCTCTCTCCCTCTGTCTCTGACAAATAAATAAATAAAATCTTAAAAAAAAAAAACAAACCACTCCTTGAATACCTACAAACACATTGATCAACACAAAAAGATAACAAAAAAAAAGATAATAACCATTTAAGAATATTAAGGAAGCTTTAACCCTCCAATTGCATTTTTCCCCATACTTCTCTTTCTGTAAGGTATTAATGAAAATTAACCATAACTAACATTGTTTTCTACCAATTCAGATGTAACTGAGTTGACTGAAAGCTGCCTTTTTCATCAGGAAGGTGTTAATCAATATGAACATACTTCTATTTGAGAACTCAAATACAAAGAGATGTGTGTCCCAGATTTTTTTTTTTTTTTTCTCAAAGATTTTGTTAGAAAACATGAGCTGGGTGAGGAGAAGAGGGAGAAGTGGACTGTAGGGAGCCCAGGGCTTGATCCCAGGACTCTAGGACCATGACCTGAGCTGAAGGCAGATGCTTAACCAACTGAGCCATCCAGGTGCCCCTATTTTTAGCCTTTTTTTTTTCTTTAAAGATTTTATTTATTTGACAGAGATCACAGTAGGCAGAGGGCAGGGTGGGGGGGGAAGCAGGCTCCCCACTGAGCAGAAAGCCTGATGTGGGGCTGGATCCCAGGACTCTGGGATCATGACCTGAGCCAAAGACAGAGGCTTTAACCCTCTGAGCCACCCAGGCACCCTAATTACATATTTTTAATAAAGAACTGTCATGAGATGAATTTTGCTGACAGTGGGGTATAGCTTTTTAAGTAGACATTTAACATGAAAACATTTGAGTTGGTAGTACATTAAGTAGTAAGATCAGAATATAGCTGTCAAAAGTATAAATTTCGTGAAATATGTGCAGTTATCAAGCCCCAACAGTAATTAATGAATTTTTACCATAAATCACTTTGAATACTGTTATGTTTGCACTTAACGTTTTTCAAGTCCAGATTTTTGGGAACAAAAAATAAATGCCTATTATTTTCTCTGGTTTTTCACTTTTTCAGGGTTCTTCTAGAATATTAATCTCATTATTTCCTAAAGCAGTTTCTAAAGGCATTAAACTTAGTAGACTACTTATAATGTATTAAATTACTATACTACCAGATAATAAAATTTTAAACTTTAGTAGCTTAATTCTGAAATCACTGTATGTTAATTTTTGAGTTTAATTACTTTGTGCCTTTCATAGCTGGCAAACCCAAAAAGATGTACTATGGTCATGTTTAATCTTTTTTCCTTTTGAACTTATCTCAAAAGGGGAAGACGATGCTCATTTTATAAGCTCCTGCCAAATTTCTTCTAAGTCACCACTGTAGTGCCTTAAAATCAGACCATTGCTTCTCAAACTTAGGTGCATGTGAATCACCTGGGGATCCAGCCAAATTGCAGATTCTGATTTAGTAGGTCTGAGGAGAGGCTCTAGAGTCTTAATTTTTCACAAGCTCCCAGGTGGTACTGATGATTCTGGTTCATGGACCACCCTCTGTGTAGCTAAGGCTTACATAACATTAACCAAAACCCTATAAAGTCACCAAAACTTAATTTGAGCAAATTACTCTGAGTATGGACAACATGCAAGTATTTTTTGCAATGTTTGAAGTATTTATTAATTCTCTAACTACAGCTCTCTTGTATAAACTGAAGTGGGGAAAAACCTTTAAATTGCGCTTTTATTTTAAAATGGCCAGGTATGGTTATTTTATCTTTCACCTTTATAATTAATATGTTGGAATCTTACAGGTATTAGAATTGAAGATTTTATTACATATAAATACATAAAGGGTGCAAAACCAAAAGTGGCAATATTTGTAAAACATTTCATTTTCATATAAAATAAACTAATCTGAATTTGAGATAAATGAAGAGATTTAGGGCATTTAAGAAAGGAGAGGAGACTGTCATGTCCCTATTTTGGGGAAGGTCAAAGAATGCTAAGAGCTTGACTTATTGCATTAATAACTTCAGATTATGCAGATACATATAACACAGCAGAACAATGTAGAGAGAGTGGAAAGCAGAGGGCTTAGCCCAGTCTGCTCATGGAAAAGGTAGAATTTTTAAAAATGTAGCAGAGACAACTGTTACTAGTTCATTTCACAGAAAACAATTCAAACCTTTCATAAACATTATCCCTTTATTCCTTGAAACTTTTCTTTGAGGTAGAGATTTGGGCCAGACTACCGTTGAAAAGCACAACCAGGAATGGTGAGGCCAACATAGCTCTTGAGAGATGGAAGAATTATAGAATTGAACTTGTTTTCATAGCTATGCCAGGTCTTGTTGAACAGAGAACAACCACTCTTCATGATCAGTTGCGTCATTTTAGGGTTCTAATGTGTCCATATCCATGGATATAAAAAATTAGTTAATTCTTTTAAGCAGCTAATACACAATCAAGACTCAAACTTCAATGTAGTCTTATGCAATTTCACTCAAATATCAGTTAAGTCACACAAACTCAAAATTCTTTGTTTTAAATTCTTATCTTCCAAATGTTTCTTAATTATTTAATCCTAAGGTGCATTTACAATGAATTGTAATTGCTATTACCTCTGTCCTTGAAGGAAAACATTAGGAGAATGGGTTGTTTTTAAGCTAAATGTGTCTCCACTTGAGGAGTGTCGGGAAGGAGCTTTTCCACCCAAAAGTGACGTTTCTGCTTCTTTTATTTCCATCGCCCTTTTGTATAATTCAGCAGCTTTTTCAAAATCCCCTTCTTCATAGCTTTGAGAGAAAAAATTTGTTAAAATGAAAATATACCCTCTTAAATTGAAATGACCTTATAGGGGGGCGCCTGGGTGGCTCCGTGGGTTAAAGCCTCTGCCTCCGGCTCAGGTCATGATCTCAGGGTCCTGGGATTGAGTCCTGCATCAGGCTCTCTGCTCAGCGGGGAGCCTGCTTCCCCCCTACCCCTGCCCCTGCCTGTCTCTGCCTACTTGTGATCTCTGTCAAATTAAAAAAAAAAAAAATGACCTTATAGGATACAGAATAACAAGTTGTGAATAATTCCCCATTTTCTCCTATTTCCAGTGTGTGCATTCACTCAGGCAGACCTGTAAAAGAATTCCCAGACTCTTCTATCTGAACTGCTAACGTGTATCTTAGTGCCTCATACATACACCATTAAGACCATGTTGTAATGGATGCAGTGGACTGCTAATGGAAAGTCTCTGCATCCAGAGATACACAAACAAAGACAAAGCAAAATCAACATGCACTTTTTTTCAGAGAGAGAGAAAAGTGTGCACACAGGGTTGGGGGGGTAGGAGCAGAGGGGAAGAGAGAATCTTGAACAGGCTCCAGGCCCAGTGTGGAGCCCAGTGCAGGGTTTGACCAGGGCGCAGTCTCACAGCCCTGAGATCATGACCTGAGCCAAAACCAAGAATCAGATGCATAACTACTGAGCTACCTAAGACCCCCAAATCAACATCCACTTAATGGTAAATTAATTTTTGAGGACAGTACATTGCCCACATTACCCCCAGAACCAGTTAGCCGCAAATGTAAATCATCTTTTCACTATTTACATGATACATTCCTCTACAAAACAGATTATGCAACATTGATTTCACTTCTGGATACCACTTTAGTATCTTGAAGTAAATCAACACAAAACAACCCCTTCCCCTCTTCCAAGAAAAAACAACTAGCATTAAATATTGTGTTCTGTGATAAGTCAAATTAAAGCTGTTCTAAAATGGGGTTTGGCTGTTATCAGGAAGCTGAAAAAATTCTTACCTAAGCACGGCTAAATTTTTTAATGTTTCTCCAACTCGAGGATGCATCCGACCCAGGCTGTCTTCATAAATCTTTAATGCTCTTTCATATAATGGCAAGGCTTCGATGTGTTTTTTCTTATTAAAAAAAGCAGTGATATTCACTTGAACACACTGAGTTGCTGAAATTACTATTAACATTCTAGACTAAGCTGATCTACTGGGGTAAGCCCCTTTAAAAAGTTAATATCCTCCTACAGATTAAAAATTTATTACTAATCATCATGGTAGAAGCATATAATAGAAAGTCAGAAACCTAAGTTTTAGACCCAGCTTGGTGACTACTGACCTGAATCCAATAATATAAGCAAAAACCTGTTTCCTTATTGCTCAGTGGGTTTATGTGCTTTTCACCTATCATGGGCAAATGCAACAGCTTAAAGATAGTATTAGACGTAGAAAGGTATGAGTCTCCAGGATTAAAAATGAAACTTATGCAATGAACTAAATAAATACTCAGTGTTTTACACTAAGAGGAAGGGACCATCTTACAAATCTAACTTCAATAATTTCTCAAATACGAAAGGAAGCATTAGTAATCTTAAATTTTCTTCAGTTACTTTTACTGTGCCACATCTATTTCATGTTTATATTTCATACCTTAAAATCATTCATAAAGAGTTATTAATATGTGGGAACTTACCATTTGGCTATAGAGAACAGCTAAGTTCACCAGGGCAGTAGCTACACTGGGGTGCTTTGGGCCAAAGGATTTCTGCCGAATTTCAACAGCCAGCTCATACAAAGGTACAGCCTTGTCAAGTTTCCCCTAAAAAACAAAAGCGAAATCTAACAAAAATATTAAAATAATAAATACTATCTGATCAAATATTTTCCCATAAATAAAGTTTTCTATTAGTAATTTTGAGGAAAAAATTTCAGAAATAATCTTCTCACACTTTAATGGTTCAGTTTATAGATAACTGAAATCTAATGGGATATGTATAAAGCTACATTGAATGTAAAAATACTTTGATAATTCAGAAAGCCTTTTATAAAGCTTACCCAGTATCACTCAGTTCCCAGTGAAGTAAAAATATGCCAGTAGAATGTTTGCTACTGTATATAATTTAGATACCACATCAAAAATAAAATCTCATTTCCTACCAAATCCCTTCAAGATTCTTCTAGAGAGAGAGATGCTGAATCAACTGAGCCACCATGGTGGTCCTCTAATTATTTCTTTTTCACTTGAAAGTTGGGCAAAAGGATGCCTGGGTGGCTCAGTTGGTTAAGCGGCTGCCTTTGGCTCAGGTCATGATCCCAGGGTCCTGGGATCAAGTCCTGCATTGGGGTCCTTGCTCAGCAGGGAGCTGTTTCTCTCTTTTCCTCTGCCTGCCACTCTGCCTGCTTGCACGCTTGCTCTGACGAATAAATAAATAAATAAAAATCTTAAAAAAAAAAAAAAAAGTTGGGCAGAAATAGCAACAATGCATTGTTCTTACTAAAGCATTAACTTCAGGGCCAGGTTGACCAGCAAGGGTCTCACAAAGTCTAAAGATAGTCTAGTCTATGTAGCTCTCTAACTGCATGAAATGAAATGAAATCAGACTTCTCCGGCATTTTTTTTTTTTAAGAACAGCTACAAAAATTCCAAAAATCACTTAAGCTAGAACCCTAGGGAAAAGAATGGTTACATTTCATTATAGGGAAAGAAAAGAAACTGTGAAATTTATTTATTTTTAAAGATTTTATTTATTTATTTGACTGACAGAGATCTCAAGTAGGCAGAGAGGCAGGCAGAGAGAGGAGGAAGCAGGCTCCCTGCTGAGCAGAGAGCCCGATTTCGAGGCTTGATCCCAGGACCCTGGGATCATGACCCGAGCCGAAGGCAGAGACTTTAACCCACTGAGCCACCCAGGTGCCCTGAAACTGTGAAATTTAAATGCTCATTTATTCTCCTACAGAGATTCCTCCTTCACCTTTGACAGCTAGGTGATTTGCTGTGTTTATGGCTGCTTAACTCATAAAACTTAATAGTGGTTGAATTTTAGAACTTCTGAAATAATAAGTTCCAATTAGAATGTTGATGAATGCATTTGTATTTGGAATATATTTTAACAAAATTAAGCCAGTACCTTACTTAAGTCTGATATAATTTTTTTAATGTTCTACTCAGCTATTTGTTAAAAAAACTTAATCATCATGATTGAGAAGTTCATAGAAAATAATCTGTCCATCAGAAGACAAATTATTTTGTGTGTGTGAATTTTTAAAAAAGATTTATTTATTTGACAGAGACACAGCAAGAGAGGGAATACAAGCAGGGGGAGCAGTAAAGGGAAAGGGAGAAGCAGGTTTCCCACCATGCAGGGAGCCTGATGAGGGGCTTGATCCTAGGACCCTGGGATCATGACCTGAGCTGAAGGCAGAAACTTAACTGAGCCACCCAGACACCCCAAGAAGACAAATTATTTTGTGACAGTAATATGACTTAAAATACATGTAAGCATGCCACAGATTACTTACCATTTTCTTATACAAGATTGCAAGATGCTTCACTGTATAGGCCAAAGAAGGGTGATCAGGAGCTAGTGCTCGTCTCCGAATGTCTAAAGCTCTTTCATAAAGTTCTTCTGCTTTATCATACTGTTTCTTTTCATTGCATAGAGCTGCCAGATTATTTAAAGACTGGGCACAGTCGGGGTGATCTGGTCCTAGGACTCGCTCTCTCATTTCTAAGGACCGCTTCAGAAACTGGTCAGCTGTTCTATGAACAAAACCCCAAAATGGTTTAAATAATTTATGCTCTAAAGACTCCTTGGCCCTAGTTAGGTAGAGAACTGAAGCATTTTTATTCTTAAATCCAAGACAGTTGATATGAGGGATTTGGCTCAAAGTCTTCTCTCTCCCTCTTTCCTAGTTCATATCCCTCCCTGCCCTTTTCCAAAAAATAAAAATGATAGTGTGAGGGCCTAAAGTAGCTAGATGATTGCCTCAGTTCTCCACTTTCGACTTTTCCTAAAAGACAAACCCATATTTCCAAAACAAACTTCTGATACCTTTAAATAAAATAAAAAGACCTAATTCAAAAGATTTTGGTATTCATTGTTTTTCCCTTTGATGTAGCTACTATATAATTTTTTAAAAATTTCTTTTCAGCGTAACAGTATTCATTGTTTTTGCACCACACCCAGTGCTCCATGCAATACGTGCCCTCTCTATTACCCACCACCTGGTTCCCCCAACCTCCCACCCCCCGCCCCTTCAAAACCCTCAGTTTGTTTTCAATTGAAGTATCCTTTCCGAAACCAGATAAGTATTTGTTACGTTTTTCTGACATCCAGAGTATCAAATGTGTTAGTTTTCTGAAATCCAAAGAAGGCCAAAAACACTTTTTCAGAGTATAAATATTAACATCTTTTTGAATCTTTTAAGTCCAAATGAACTGAAGACCCAAACTAGCAGCCATCTACATTCTATCCTTTATTCTCGCCTGGTGCCAAGTTTCTTCTGTGAATTCTCATGTACAGCATCTATACAAAACACTTTTTATAATTATATAAAACATACTAGGGATGCTACAGAATAACTTTTTTAGCTAATAAAAGAATGTGACAAGAAACCATGAAAAAATGCCATGGCCTTTGTTAAGCATAGCTGTATGTTCAACCCACCACACGTGAAATCTGGCATGGTTTCTGTCAATTTATTCTAGCTTGACTTGATAGAAACGGAAAGTAGCTTTCCATGTGAGAGACACAATGGACACTTATTTTCATTATTAGCGTCATGGTACTCACTCCAGGTTATTCTGAAGGTAGTAGAGAACGCCCAGCTCATTGAGGGTCCGGGCATTGTCAGGTGTGTCCTTTCCTAACGTGAGCTCTTCTAACTGCAGGGCTCGTCTACGTAAGAGGGCAAATCCATACTGAAGCAAACACAAATGGAGAATAGGTACCAAGTTAAGGGCAGTCCTTGATTCTGAAACACTACACTGGAGCTCTATGAAATCCTTTCTCCTTTTGCTCCCTTTAAAGTAGGTAACAATTAGTTTAAGTATCACACTGAATTAATCCAGTGGATATTGCAAGTGCACATATTTCCACCTGACATCACATTCTAAAATTCAGTAAAACCTGTTTTGAGAAAGTGATGATGAGCTATTTTAGCAAAGTGAACTGAGTCCCAAGGGCTTTGAAAAGATCAGGACACAGAATTAAACTGCAGATATTTACCAATCCCATGGCTTTAAGTGTTTAACTTAAAAACATCAGGTACTTAAACTGCACCTAGCACTTGAAAAATAGTAGACAAATAAATCACAGAGATCAAATGCACAGTATAGTGAATGTAGACAATACTGTATTACAATCATCAAACTTGCTAAAAGAGTAGATCTTAACTATTCCCACCACAAAAAAGAAATAATAATTATGTGATGTGACAGAGGTGCTGTCACTACGATGGCCATTATATTACAATATATAATGTATCAAATTAGCATGTTATACATCTTAAATTTACACAACGTTGTGTGTCAGATATTATTCAATTTAAAAAACGTACATAGCATTTGAAATTAAAACAGGCTATATTTAGATTTTATCAGCAGCTTGGAAAAATGAAAATAATTTTATGTGTGTGTGCTCCAAGGTAAGAATTCCAAGGTAAGAATTTCCTTGCATTTGAATCTAACATATTAAAATTTTTAATTTGCCTTTCCTTTACAGATTGAAGCAGCTTTTAAGTTCATCTTCCAAAGTCTAACCTTCAAATGAACCTTATAGTCCCACTTTAAAAAAAGCAAAAAAAAAATTTTTTTCCTATGTTTACTGAGATATAATTGCCATAAAACATTGTGTAAGTTTAAGGTGTACAACATAATGATTTCACATATGTATATACTGCAAAATAAACATAGTATATTGTTTTATATACTTTTTAAAAGTCTGCTAAGTTGTATTTCTCAGTAACACTAATATTTAAACATGTATTATATATATAAGACAATGTTAGTATTTTTATAGAAATCACTTTAATATCTCAAGTTCTTAAACATGTGAGGTATACACAGCTGTATTATGATACTCAGAGATGCTCTTTTCCTCTAGTTTAAAACACAACATAAAAGAAATCTCTCATTACCAAGTTGCCTTTTCTCCTTGTAGCCTTCTGACGAATTTTAAAGGATTTTTTCCTAAAATGTTCAGCTTGTTCATACCTTAAAAAAATAACAATAAAGTCAAACAAAAGAAACATGTCCTAAGTATCATATTTCAGGGAGATGAAAGCATTCCTTACCTAGTGTAAAGCTTTTTTGGGCCCTTAAATGTAGCATAATTTCTAAAAATGATAGTCACATGGAATTAAAAATCTTTAACAAAAACCCTCATAAAACAAAATCTAACAAAACATCTAATCCTCCAAGTAGCTGACATTTAACAGATTTTTAACTGATTTAACTCATTCTGAATCTCTAAAGGATCCCCTAACTAAATGAAAATCTAAACTTTTAGTTTACTCCAACACCTTCTTCTGTACATGCTAATTTCTGGTCAAATATAAATGAGAAATTCACACAAAATTTGTGTGAAACAATTCCTCCAGAAATTAAAAGAAAAAATCCAATCTGTATTATTAACAATACATGATTTCTGATAGAGGAAAAGATGCATTCAGTGCGTGTCTAATAGATTTTTTATTACACCAGGGATTGGCAAACTTTTTCTGGAGTAGGCTACTACTATGTAGTATATTTTATGTTTTGTGGGCCACATGGTCTCTACCTCAACTATGGAACTCTGTTGCATCACGGAAGGAACCACAGATAATATGTACATGAAAAAATGTGACTATGTTCCAATACAACCTTATTTACAAAACAAGGGGCCTAGTGAACTTGGCCAATGGACAATGGTTTGCAGCCCTCTATTAGCAGTGCACTTAATATTACAAAGCTAGTTAGTGAAGAAGCCCAGCTTCAAACCCGACTATATGACTCCAAAGTCCATGTTCTATCATCCGTGCATCTTCAAATGGAGATGAGTCTTGTAGTTCTAATTTTCTGTTTACTCCACAAAGACCCACCACCAAGAATAATCTTTGAACATGGTAGATTCAAAAGATATCGGATAAAAAATTACATAGCCACAAAAGAAAGCTTACCCCATAAGGACATTAAGAACTGTCGCACCCCATCATAAAACCGGAGTATTACTGATCTAAGTCTTACTTATTTTGTTTCTGGTACAAAGTTGCCAGTGCCTCAAGTTCACGAGCAATATGGGGATGTTCCACACCATAAGCATTTTCGGAGATTTCTAAGGCCTGTTTATACAGCTGTTCCGCATTGCCAAACTTCTTCCACTGCACGTACACACTTGCTAGTTGGTGGAGGGACTGAGCTACTCTTGGGTGATCTGGATCTAAAGCTGTTTCTCGAATTTCTAGAGACCTCTGCAAAGGCACCACAGCCTAGGGGGGAAAAAAAAGGTTAAAGGCCAGTAACCGTGAGTGAGATGCTGTAAGATCTGCAGTCTCATCAGCATAACAAATGAAGGCGACACTAACTCCTAGCAAGGAGAGAAAAACCCACTGCTGGAGTTACCTGACTGAGGAGGCCTAGATCCTTGAGAAATCGCCCCAGGGTTTCATAAAGATCAGCCAAGCAAATCATGTTCTCCTCGCCTTCACAGTTTTTCTCATACTGCTTCAATGAATCAAAGTATTCTGCTGCCATTGCGCTTTTGTCTCTGCCAACAAACTGCCAGTAACTCAGCAACTCGGCAAAGTGTCCTCTGTTTCAACCAAAAAATGTAATTTAATGAAAAGCAAGCTTTAAAACCCACTTTTGAATGAAAATGCCAGAATTCATGTCAGGCTACTGACACTTCATTAGCAGGCAGGTATAGCGTAGAGGGAGATAAGACTATAGACTCTGACTGTTCTCTGAGTCCATCCCTTCCTAGCTGTGTGGTGGTGAGCAGGTGGTCTGATCTCTTACACCTCATCATCCTTATCTGCAGAAGGGGGGATCACCAACCCGATCTGCCTCAGGTGCTACTATAAGCAGATGACAGCACACAGCAAGTACTCCATAATGCTGGCTGCTGTCACTACACTTACTAAAAACATCCCATTCTGAGTGGGAGACCTCACACTGCCTTCTTTCCCAATTAGCTAAATGCTACAGCTGAATCTAATTCCATCTGTCCTTCTGGGCCCACTCAGATGTCCCTCTTTGCCAGCTGCTTTCTGCTCTAAATCTCATTTTTATTACAGCATTATGGGGGTGGTTTGGTCATTTATTTATTTTGTGAGATATAATTGACATCCAAATTTATTAGCTTCGGGTGTACAACTCATGATTTGATATTTGTATATACAGTAGTCTGCCTTTGCCCCGGTTTCCCTTTCTCCAGTTTCAGTTAGTGGCGATCAACCACGGTCCGGGAGCAGATGCTCCTCCTTTGACGTAAGGTCAGAAGGTCAGTAGTAGCCCGTGGCTCCAGCACAACACCTACTCCATTCACCTCACTTCATCTCATCCCTGGGACATTTATCATCTCACATCATCACGAGAAGAAGGATCAGTCCAGTAAGATATTTTGAGAGAGAGACCACATTCATATAACCTTTATTATAGTATATTGTTATAATTATTCTATCTCATTATTAGTTATTGCTGTTAATGTCTTACTATGCCCAATTCACAAATTAAACTTTATCACAGGTATGTATGTATAGGGAAAGATAACATATATAGGGCTCGGTATTATCTGTGGTTTCAGACACCCACTGAGGGTCTTGGAAAGTATCCCTCCATGGGAAGGGAGAACTACTGTATGGCAAAATGATCACCAGAGTAAGTCTAATTAATGTCTGTCACTGTACATAATTGCAATCCCTGTTACAGGATTTTTTTTTCTTGTGATGAGAACTTTTAAGACCTACTTTCTTAGCAGCTTTAAAATATTCAATACAGAATTATCAACTATAGTCTCCATGCTGTACACCACATCCCCAAGACTTATTTTAAGATTGGAAGTTTGTACCTTTCTAATCCTTTTACCCACTTTGCCTACTCTGATAATTACTAATCTCTTCTCTGTACCAAGGGCATGTTTGACTTTTGTTTTTGTTTTTTAGATTCCAGATATAAGTGAGATCATATAGTATTTGTCTTTCTCTAGCTTATTTCACTTAGCGTAATGTCCTAAGGATCCATCCATGTTGTTGCAAATGCCAAGATTTTGTTCTTTTTTGTGGCTGAATAATATTCCATTGTTTGTATGTAATGTGCACATATATATACACACACATCTTCTTTATTCATTCATCTATTAAGGGACACTTAGGTTGTTTCCTATTTTGACTATTGTAAATAATGCTATAATGAACATGGTGGTGCATATATCTTCTCAAATTATGGTATTTGTTTTCTTCAGATAAACAGCAAGAAGTGAAATTGCTGGGTCATATTGCAGTTCTAGTTTAAATTTTTTAAGGAACCTCATACTGTTTTCCACAGTGGCTGTCCCAAATTACATTCCTACCAATAGTACATGAGGGTTCCCTTTTCTCTACATCCTTGCCAGCATTTGTTATCTCTTGTTTTCTTGGTGATAGTAATTCTAACAGGTGTGTGATGATATCTCATTTTAATTTTTAATTTGCATTTCCCTGATGACTAGTGATGTTGAGCATCTTTTCATGTATCTGTTGGCCATCTGGATGTCTTTTTAGAAAAATGTCTATTCAGATCCTTTGTCCATTTTTAAATCAGATTCTTGTTATTGATTTATAGGAGTTCTTTATATATTTTGGATGTTAACCCCTTTGCAGATATACGATTTGCAAATATTTTCTCTCATTCAGTAGGCTACCTTTCCATTTTGTTTATGGTTTCCTTTGCTACGCAGAAGTTTTCTTATTTGATGTGATTCCACTTGTTTATTTTGCTTTTGTTGCCTTTGCTTTTTGTGTCAGATACAAGAAATCATCACCAAGACTGATGTCAAGCAGTTTACTGCCTATGTTTTCTGGGAGTTCTATGGCTTCAGGTCTTATATTAAAGCTAAAATTAAAATGCCATTTTTCTTTGTTATACCAAACAACCACTTAACTCTGTTTTTTTTGCAGAAGGTGTTCTACAAATATGTTTCTTACCTTTTATAAAGATTTTGAGACACAAAGAGATTGAGAAGGCAATCATGCAACTTCTGTTTACTTCCCTGCTGCTGAAAAAGCCAAGGGAGCTCATCTGCACTTCTCCAAGTCACTCGGTCCTGACTGTCAGAAGGGAAAGGACAACACTCAGTAATACCTTCCAACAAGGAAATTACCTCCAAAGACTTCAGACAAATGTTGAAGGGAGAAAAATGTGTTTGACATCTATCTCCGACTCTTTAAATATAATCTAATACTGAGAAAATTAGGTCAAAATCAGAAACTCTAAGAAATAATCTAAGAAAATAAATACAGTGATATCAGGACCACTCATCAAACTCTCAAGGTGTTTTCCTAAATTTGAGCTTTAAAAAAAAAAAATCAACCCAAGTATATACACACGGTATACAGACACACACATATTTTTGAACGATTAAACTGGAATAAATAATAAAATGATCTTACATTGATTTCATATAAGTTTAAATCTTCAGCATGATATTAAAAGACTTACATAATAATCTCTTGTTCTTTTGACATTAACAGGGGAGATGAATAAATCTTTTCTATAATAATTAAATTTTTATACATTAAGTTATAAGCAAAGGAAGAGAGAAGTAAAGGCACAGGGGTAAAACATGTTGCAGAAGAATAATATGGATATTCATAATACCTTAGCTGCATGGTGAAATAGTTGATTAGCTTTTGCCTACATGAAGAAATAATGGCTGGATCGTCCATGTATTCCAGTCTTACTGTTTCCCAAGCCTGGGAAGAAAAAGAAAAAATACTGCAGTTTATTTTCTGTAAGTCCCCGTATATCTAACAATTAATTTATAAACAGGAATTTGTAATTATTTTAATTTTACAGATGTATAATAGAGATGGCGAAAGACTTTTAAAATTCAGGATATGTTTATGTGATAAAGAATAAAAATCTCCTGGAAGCACTTAAAACACAATTTAATTTAAACTTCTAGTTACTGCAGTAAAATTTATCAGAAATGTGGACTGAAAAAGTACTGGAAAGACTATATTTAAGCAATACACAATAGAGAAAGATAAGCCTGTGAAATTACAAACATAGCACACCTGCAAATATAACGCAGCATACTCCCACCAAAGACATCATTCACATTTGTATACATATAAGTCAACCACGGCATTGCAGGTAGATAAGAATTATACCATTTGATAGGTCCTAAACATTTACTACTACATACTAGATGTCATGCGTAGGACCTTACTAGGATCAAGAATCCCATCGATTCATTTCACAACCTCTGTAGTAGGCTAGAAAAATCTGCCCAAGGCTTACAGAATTTACCCAAGGTCACAGAGCTGTTAGCTGTGAAGAGCCGAATTGTGAACTAAGGCATGCTCACTTGCTGAGTCCAAGCTCTTAAAACATAAATAATGATACCAGCAATCAATAATACATACAATTGAAAAAAATATATTTTCCTCTTTCAGAAAGAAACTGCTTTTTAAAGTATTTTAAGTCCCTCTTTATCCCCAGTTTCACTTTCTGCAGCCTTAGCTGCCCATGGGCAACTGGGATTTGAAGGGAGATGATCCTTGATATTATAGTCAGGTCCATATGATGTAATGCTAGATCACAGTGCCCACATCATTCACCTCACTTCATTTCATCAGGTAGGCATTTTATCGGTAATCTCACATCATTACAAGAAGGGTGAGTGCACTATAATATTTTGAGAGAGACCACATTCACATTACTTGGGAGTACAGTATATTGTTACAACTGTTCTATTATTATGTTTGTTAATCTCTTACTATCCCTAAATTGTAAATTTAACTTTATCATGGGTATGTACTTAAAGAAAAAACATAGTGTATATGGGGCTTGGTACTATCCCGGTTTCAGGCATTAACTGGGGGTCTCAGAAGGTGTCTGCTGGGGATAAGAGGGGACTGCTGTAATAGTCATTTCATAAAGGTACTTCATAAAAATATTAGCCCAATTTTACATTTAATCTAAAATCAGTGCAAAAAATTTGGTAATGCCAAATTTCAGATTTCAATTTTGTCTTGTAGTTGAAACATTTAAAATAGCATGATGGTACGATGGCTTTTAAAAATTTTTTACTTTTTAATTTAAATTCAACTAATTAATATATAATGTATTATTAGCTTCAGAGGTACAGGTCAGTGATTCTTCGGTCTTTTTTTTTAATATTATATTAGCCACCACACAGTACATCACTAGTTTTTGATGTAGTTTTCCATGATTCATTGTTTGGATATAATACCCAGTGCTCCATGCAATACATGCCCTCCTTAATACCCATCACTGGGCTAACCACCTTCTGCCCCGGCAAAACCCTCAGCTTGTTTCCCGAAGTCCATAGTCTCTCAAGGTTTGTCTCCCCCTCCAAATTTCCCCACTTCATTTTTCCCTCCCTTCTCCTAATGTCCTCCATGCTATTCCTTATATTCTACAAATAAGTGAAACCACATGATAACTGACTTTCTTTGCTTATTTCACTTAGCATAATCTCCTCCAGTTCTATCCATGTTCATGCAAATGTTGGGTATTCATCCTTTCATGGCTGAGTAATATTTCATTGTATATATGAACCACATCTTCTTTATCCATTTGTCTGTTGAAGGGCATCTTGGCTCCTTCCACAGTTTGGCAATTGTGGACATTGCTGCTATGAACATTGGGGTGCATGTGGCCCTTCTTTTCACTACATCTATATTTTGGGGGTAAATACCCAGTAGTGCAATTGCTGGGTCATATGGTAGCTCTATTTTTAACTTATTCTGGAACCTCTACACTGTTTTCCAAAATGGCCATACCAACTTGCATTCCCACCAACAGTGTAGGAAGGTTCCCCTTTCTCCACAACCTCTCCAACATTTATTGTTTTTTGCCTTGTCAATTTTTGCCATTATAATTGGGGTCAGGTGGTATCTCAATGTGGTTTTGATTTGGATTTCCCTGATTGTTAATAATGATGAACATTTTTTCATCTGTCTGTTAGCCATTTTATGTCTTCTTTGGAGAAGTGTCTGTTCATGTATTGTTTCAGTCTTGGTAGTTTGTAGGTTTCTAAGAAGGCATCCATTTCTTCCAGGTTGCTTAATTTACTGGCATATAGCTGTTGATAATTATTTCTGATGATTGTTTCTATTTCCTTGGTGTTAGTCAACATCTCTCCCCTTTCATTCATAATTTTATTAATTTGGGTCCTTTCTCTTCTCTTTTGGGTAAGTCTGGCCAGTGGTTTATTGATCTTATTCTTTCCAAGAACCAGCTTCATTGATATGCTCTACTGTATTTCTGGTTTCTAATTCATTGATCTCTACTCTAATTTTAATTACTTCTCTTCTCATGTGTGGCTAAGGCTTTATTTATTGTTCTTTCTCTTTTCTCCAATTCTTTAAGGTATAAACTTAATTTGTGTATCTGGGATTTTTCTTTTTTCTTTTTTTTTGAGTGAGGCTTGGATGGCTATGTATTTCCTCCTTACAACTGTCTTTGCAGTATTCCATATGTTTTGCACCAATGTGTTTTAGTTCTCAATGGTTTCCATAAATTGTTGAAGTTCTTTTTTGATTTCCTGATGACCCAAATATTCTTAAGCAGATTAGCTTCCAAGTGTTTGAATTTCTTCCAATTTTTTCTTGTGACTGAGTTCCAGTTTCAAAGCATTATAGTCTAAGAATATGCAGGGTATAATCTCAGTCTTTTGGTATCAGTTGAGACCTCATTTGTGACCCAGTCTCTGGTCTATTCTGGAGAGTCTGATGATGAATGAGTATACTGCTATTTTAGGGTGGAATATTCTGTATATATCTAAGAGGACCAGTTGGTCCCGTGTATCATTCAAAGCTCTCATATCTTTGTTGATTTTCTTAGATGATCTATTGCTGAGAGTGGAGTTTTGAGGTCTCCTATTATATTATTATCAATATGTCTCTTTATTTTGGTTAACAGCTGGCTTATGTAGTTGGCTGTTCCCCTGACAGGGGCATAGATGTTCCCCAATTTTAGATCCTCTTGTTGGGTAGACCCTTTAAGAGTGATACAGCGTCCTTCTGTATCTCTAACTATAGTTTTTAGCTTAAAATTTAATTTGTCTGATATAAGAATTGCTACCCCAGCTTTCTCTTGAGGTCCACTGGCATGAAAAATGGTTCTCCGTTGCTTCACTTTCAGTCTGGAAGTATCTTTAGGTGCAAAATGAGTCTCTTATAGACAGCATATGGATGGGTCGTGTCTTTTTATCCAATCTGCAACCCTGGGCTGTTTCATGGGAACATTTAGGTAATTCACTTTGAGAGTGATTATTGAAAGATATTATTTTAGGGGCGCCTGGGTGGCTCAGTGGGTTAAAGCCTCTGCCTTCGGCTCAGGTCATGATCCCAGGGTCCTGGGATCGAGCCCCGCGTCGGGCTCTCTGCCCAGCAGGGAGCCTGCTTCCTTTCCTCTCTGCCTGCCTCTCTGCCTACTTGTGATCTCTGTCTGTCAAATAAATAAATAAAATCTTAAAAAAAAAGATATTATTTTATTGTCATCATGTTGCTTGTGAAGTCCTTGTTTCTATAGATCATCTCTGTAAATTTCTGTTCTTTGTCACTCTTGGAGTCTTTCTCCTTTTATAGGACTCCTTTAATATTTCTTTCAGGGCCAGCTGGGTGGTCACATATTCTTTCAGTTTGTACCGGTCTTGGAAACTCCTTGTCTTTCCAGCCATTCTGAAGGACAGTATGTCTGGATAAAGTATCCTTGGCTGCATATTCCTCTCACTCAGTACCCTGAACATGTCTTGCCAACCCTTTCTTGCTTGCCAGGTCTCTCTAGACAGGTCTGACATTTTTCTGATGTTCTTCCCTCTGTATCTAAGAAATCACTTCCCCCTCATTGCTTTCAAGATTATTTCCTTGGATCTAAGATTTGTAAATTGTACTATTATATGTTATGGCATTGCTCTGTTCTCATTGATCTTAGGAGGGGTCCTCTCTGCCTCTAAGACACGAATGCTTCTTTCCTTCCCCAGATTAAGTAAGTTCTCAGCTACAATTTGTTGAAATTTATCTTCTAGACCTCTCTCTCTTTCCACCCATTCAGAGATCCCAATAATTATGATATTGGAATCTTTCATTGAGCCACTATTCTCTCTCAGTTTGATACCCTGGTTTTATTTTATTTTATTTATGTATTTATTTATTTGACAGACAGAGATCACAAGTAGGCAGAGAGGCAGGCAGAGAGAGAGAGAGAGAGAGAGAGAGGAAGCAGGCTCCCCGCTGAGCAAAGAGTCTGATGCAGGGCTCGATCCCAGGACCGTGGGATCATGACCTGAGCCGAAGGCAGAGGTTTTAACCCACTGAGCCACCCAGGCGCCCCTCAATACTCTGGTTTTAATTTGTTTTTCCCATGCCACCTCAGTTACCTTCTTTTCTATCATCTTATGCTCTGGCTCACTAATTTGTTCTGCTTCATTTACCCTGGCAGAGTATCTAGTTTAGAGTGCATTTCATTCATAGCATTTCTAAGTTTTACCTGATTAGATATAATTTCTGCCCTTACAGATTATATATTGTCATTAATATTTTTCTCAAGCCTAGATATCACCTTGATAATTGTTACTCTGAAGTCAATTTCTGACATCTTGGTTATATCCATATCCATTAGTTCTGTGGCAGAGGCCTCAATCTCTGAATCTTTCCTGTGTTGGGGGTTCCTCCTCTTAGTCATTCTGTTGAGGGGTGGTTAAGAGAATGTAGAGTCCAAATTATTGACCACAACCCAAGCAAGATGTACCTGTTTTACAGGGACCTTAAAGTTGTCCCCTCTTGTTCTTCCAGTCTGTCTTCTGGGGGAGGGCACTGTTACTCAGGCAACCCTGTTTGGACAGAGCTGCCTTGCCCCTGTGGTGGGGTGATAGGCTCAGTGAAAACCCGTTTTGGGGGGCTTTTGCTCTGTAGTGGCTTTCCGCATCTCTTCCAAGAGTCAGAGCAGAAGTGTTCATATCTAATACTCTGTCTCAGAACAGATAGATTACAGTCTGCTCTTCACTGAGCTCTCCAGGCCACACTGTCTCCCTCTCGGTCTGTGCTGCTAAATACCATAGCGTCCTGGGTTGTGCGCCCCACAGCAGCACTCCCAGCCCTTGCTCCCAGGGCCAGGCACGTCTCTGTCCTTTGTGCTTCTAAAACCATAAGCCAACCCCATTTGCAAGTATGCCCCAGTAGCTTCAGATTTTAGTCTGGGGGGCTGCCCTAAAGTCCTTTCCCTGACACTACCAGTTTGGGAGTCTGAGCATGGTCCCCAGTGAAGGAAGCTTTTGTGCTCTGGCACAAGTTCCCAGAGGCTCCCTCTCCTTCCATTTATCTTTCAATATCACCCACAGAATCACGGCTCCCCACTTCATACCTCAAGACCAACTGCCAGAGATATTCTGTTTGTAGAGACCCAGCTATATCTTCTTACATCTCAGGCTTATTTCATGGGTGTTCAGAATGGTCTGATAGATATCTAGCTCAATTCAGGGAACCAGCTGAAATAGGATCCCCTACTCCTCCACCACCTTTTTTCTTGATTCTTCAGTCTTATATAATACCAAGTGCTCAGTACATCATGTGCCCTCCTTAACGTCCATCACCCACTTACTCCATCCCCTACCCTCTCCCCTCCAGCAAGCCTGTTTGTTTCCTACGATTAAGATCTCTTATGGTGTGTCTACATCTCTGATATTGTCTTGTTGTATTTTTTCCTCTCTTCTCCACTGAACCTCTGCTTTGTTTCTTAAATTCCACATATGAGTGATATCATGCAATAACTGTCTTTCTCTGATCGACTTACTTCACTCAGCATAATATCCTCTGGTTCCATCCATGTCATTGCAAATGGCAACATTTCATCTTTTTGATGGCTGAGTAGTTTTCCATCACACACACACACACACACACACACACACATCTTCTTTATCCATTCATCTGTCAGTGGACACCCAGACTCTTTCCGTAGTTGGGCTATTGTGGACATTGCTGCTGTAAACATTTGGGTGCACGTGCCCCTTCGGATCACTACATTTGTATCTTTGAGGTAAATACCTAGTAGTGCAATTGCTGGGTCATAGAGTAGCTCTGTTTTCAACTTTTTGAGGAAAATCTATACTATTTTCCAGAGTGGCTGCACCCGCTCACATTCCCACCAACAATGTAAGAGGGTTCCCCTTTCTCGGCATCCTTGCCAACATCGGTCATTCCTTGATTTCTTAATTTTAGCCATTCTGACTGGTGTGAGGTGGTATCTCAATGTGTTTTTTTGTTTTTGTTTTTTAGATTTTATTCATTTATTTGTCACAGAGAGAGCACAGGCAGAGGGAGTGGCAGGCAGAGGGATAAGCAGGTTCCCCAATAAGAAAGGAGCCCGATATGGGACTTGATGGCCAGGACCCTGGGATCATGACTGGAGCTGAAGGTAGACGCTTAACCCACTGAGTCACCCAGTCACCCAAAACCACGCATGTGGTTTTGATTTGTATTTCCCTGATACTAAGTGATGTGGAGCATTTTTTCATGTGTCTGTTGGCAATTTGTATGTTTTCTTTGCAACCAAATGCTCTACCCCTGAACTATACCCCCATGTATGTCTTCTTTGGAGAAATATCTGTTTCTATCTTCTGTCCATTTCTTGACAGGATTATTTGTTCTTTGGGTGTTAAGTCTGGTAAATTCTTTATAGACTTTGGATACAAGTTCTTTATTTGATAAGACATTTGCAAATACCTTCTCCCATTATGTCAGTCATATTTCGGTTTTGTCAACTGTTTCCTTTGCTGTGAAAAGATTTTTATCATGATGAAGTCCCAACAGTTCATTTTTGCTTTTGTTTTCCTTGCTTTTAGAGATATCTCTAACAAGAAATTGCTTTGGCTGAGGTCACAGAGGTTGCTGCGTGTATTCTCTCATATTAAGGTCTTTCATCCATTCTGAGTCTATTTTTGTGTGTGGTGTAAGAAAATGGTCCAGTTTCATTCTTCTGCATGTGGCTGTCCAATTTTCCAACACCATTTGTTGAAGAGACTGTCTTTTCCATTGGATATTCTTTCCCGCTTTGTCAAAAGATTAGTTGGCCACAGAGTGAGGGTCCACTTCTGGGGTCTCTATTCTGTTCCACTGATATGTGTCTGTTTTTGTTCCAGTAGCATACCATCGTCCCAATTACATCTTTGTAATAGAGCTTCAAGTCCAGGATCGTGATGTCACTAGCTTTGGTTCTCTTTTTCAACATTTCTCTGGATATTCAGGGTCTTTTCAGATTCCATACAAATTTTAGGATTATTTGTTCCATGAAAAAAGTGGATGGTATTTTGATAGGGATTGCACTGAATGGGTAGATTGCTTTGGGTAGCATAGACATTTTCACAATTTTTGTTCTCCAATCCATGAGGAAAGAATGTTTTCCCATTCCTTTGTTTTGTCCTCAATTTCTTTCATGAGTGTTCTGTAGTTTTTAGAGTACAGATCCTTTGATTAGGTTTATTCCAATGTATCTTATGGTTTTGGGTGTAATTGTACATGGGATCGACTCCTTAATTTCTCTTTTTCTCTGTCTCATTGTTATTGTATAGATATGCAACTGATTTCTGTGCATTAATTGTATATCCTGCCACTTTGCAGAATTCCTATATGAGTTCTAGCCATTTGGGGTGGAGTCTTTTGGGTTTTCCACATAGCGTATCTTGTCATTTGTGAAGAGTGAGAGTTTGACTACTTCTCTGCTGATTCAGATGCATTTTATTTCTTTTTGTTGTCTGATTGCTGAGGCTAGGACTTCTAGTACTATGCTGAACAGCAGTGGTAATAGTGGACATCTCTCTCATGTTCCTGACCTTAGGGGAAGAGCTCTCAGTTTTTCCCCCACTAAGAATGAGTTTTGCTGTGGCCTTTTCCTACATGGCTTTTATGATCTTGAGGTATCTTCCCTCCACCCCTATACTGTGAAACGTTTTAATCAAGAAAGGATGCTGTACTTTGTCAAATGCTTTTTCTGCATATATTGAGAGGAGCATATGTTTCTTATCCTTTATTAATGTACTGTGTCATGCTGATTGATTTATAGATATCGAACCACCCTTGTGGCCCCAGACTAAATCCCACTTGGTTGTGGTGAATAATCCTTTTAATGTACTGTTGGATCCTACTGGCTAGTATCTTGGTAAGAATTTTGGCATCCATGTTCCTCAGGGATAGTGGTCGGTAATTCACCTTTTGGTGGGGTCTTTGTCTCGTTTTGAGATCAAGGTAATGATGGCCTCATAGAGAGAGTTTGCAAGTTTTTCTTCCATTTCGATTTTTTGAAACAGCTTCAGAAGAACAGGTATTAGTTCTCTAAATGTTTGGTAGAATTCCCCTGGGAAGCTATCTGGCCCTGGACTCTTGTCTGTTGTGAGATTTTTGATTACTGCTTCTATTTCCTTGCTGGTTATGAGTCTGTTCAGGTTTTCTATTTCTTCCTGTTTTAGTTTTAGTAGTGTATAAGTTTCCAGAAATGCATCCATTCCTTCTAGATTTTCTAATTTTTTTTTTAATATTTTCTTTACTTATTGAGAGGGAGAGAATGAGTGGTAGGGAGAGACAGAGGGAGAGAGAGGGAGAAGCAGACTCCCCACTGAGCAGGGAGCCTGATGTGGGACTCGATCCCAGGACCCACAGATCATGACCTATTTTTATTGATTTGAGGTGTTGATCTATTTTTACTGATTTGAGGGAGGTTTTCTGTGACTTCTGGATTTGAATGTCTGCTTCCTTCCCCAGACTAGGGAAGCTGTCCACTATAATTTGCTTCAATATAACTTCTGCCCCACTCTTTCCTCTTCTGAGATCCCAATTATTTTAATATTGTTTCACTTTATGGTAAGACTAATCTCTTGAATTGCTCCCCTTGTGGTCCAATAGTTATCTTTCTTTTTCTGAACTTCTTTATTCTCCATCATTTTGTCTTCTATATCACTAATTCTCTCTTCTGCCACATTTATCCTAGCAGTCAAAGCTTCCATTTTATATTACATCTCATCAATAGCCTTTTTAATTTCAATTTGATTACATTTTAGTTCTTTTATTTCTCTATAAATGGATTCTCTAGTGTCTTCTATGCTTTTTTCAAGCCTAGCTATCTTTATAATCATTATTCTGAATTCTAGTTCTGACATCTTACTTATATCCATACTGATTAGGTTCCTGGCAGTTAGTACTGCCTCTTGTTCTCTTTTTTGAGGTATGAGTTTTTCCATCTTGTCATTCTTACAGAAAGTGTTCGCTTTTCTAGTTGTAGACTTGCAGCTATTCTTTTCTTTGATCTCCAGTTGAGTTCACAGGTGTTCAGAATGATCTGATAGCTATCTAGCTGAGTTCCTGGGACCAGACAAAACTAAGATCTCCTACTCCTCTGCCATCCTGGACTATCTTCCGGTATGTTGACATTTAAAAGTAAAAAACCTTATTAAAAAAAAACTTACCTGTAGATGTTGAAACTTGAGCAAGCCACAACCATAAGTCAATAAGCACATTTTGTGTAAACTGTGAATTAGGGAGGTCAAGAGAGCCCAGGAAAGCTCAGGGTGGAGTTCCATCAGTTCTGATTCACTCACGCCATTGTGACTAACATTTATGAGGCAGAGAATCTAGGTAAAGAAATGAATTAAGAATGATCATAAGCCATCTCTATAAGTAAGAAAAAGCCATAAAATTTCCATAACTCTTTTAAGGTTATTAACTTCTTATTCAAACTTATTGTTCAAATGATTTAATAAAGAAACATATTTTTTAGAATAAAACACACTTTCCAAAAGACAATAATCAGAAATAAGATAGTGTATACAGCAAATCTAGCATGTGAAAGACAACACACAGAAAAAAGTTTGATGAAAATTAAAACCTCTGTGGGCGCCTGGTGACTCAGTTGTTAAGTATCTGCCTTCAGCTCAGGTCATGATGGGGCCCTGGGTCAGGCTCCCTGCTCAGTGGGGAATCTGCCTCTCCCTGGAGAGTCTGCCTCTCCCTCTGTCCTCTGTCCCTCCCTTTCTCTTCGCTTGTACTCTCTCAAACAAACAAATAAAATCTTTTAAAATAAGAAAAAAAATTGGAACCTCAGGAAATAGATTAAAACTAATGACAAAGTTCCAATTTGGGGAAGATGGTAGAAGAAAATGGTTCTTCTACTATAAATGCCTGTTAACATAAGACAACATATAACGAAATACCTTTAAAAGCACAGGTGAGCCTGCAAAAGGGAAAGGGAAATCCCCCAGGTGCCAAAAATGAATAGGAAAGCAAACATCGGAGGGCTAAGTGCTGGAGCTACTGTCCCTGGGGGAAGTGAGGGTACCGGCTAGGCAGCAATCTCAGTAATTTAAGGGCTTGGGTTTTCACACCCACAGTGGGGATGGAAGGTATGCCCTTAAACCCGGTAAGGTGAGTAGCTGGAACTAGAAAGCTTGCCAACACCAGAAACCCCAAGAGCTGTACTCTCAGTGAAGGGGTGCATAGAAAACATTGGCCCACAGACCAACCACGCAAGAAAGTTTAATTTCAAGCTCTAAAAGTCAAGACACTGTGGTACTGGCAATGAATAAGCAAAACTGGAAGAGAAGAGCTCAGAAAACAAACTCCTGTTAATTTGTTGAGTGTGATATCCAAATCAGCAGAAATGATGTGCTATTTAGTAAAATGAAATTAGCTGGCCATATGATAAAAGATTAAAAAGCAGATTCCTTCCTCACATAATAAAAATAAGTTCTTAAGGACTCACACAGGAAGAACAAAAATGTAAAACATTTTAAAGGGAAAAATACATATACGAACATTTTTATGATAACAAAATATTTTTGGATAATAGAAGACTTTTAAAATAAGATATAACAGGAAAAAACCATGAAAGATACTATTGATAAATCTGACTTCAACAAAATAAAACTCTGTATAATGAATGATACTAAAAAGTTAAGACAAGAAACAAACTGGAAAAAGATATTTATCTGCAAACTCTGTAACAGAATTTGTATTCAGTATGCAGAATGTTTAAGAGCTCCTAGAGATCAATAAGAAAGACAACTCAATTAAAACTCATGTAAGAAGGCCTGAATCAGCAATTCACAGAAGAGGAAACAAGAATAGCCAATAAACATGAACAGATGAAAAATTTCAATGGTAATCAGGAAAATGCAAATTTCTTGAGCTATCACTTCTGGCCACAGGTACACTATGGCAGCCAGCCTTCCTGTATATGCTTGAAATATACTTAAGCACAGATTTAAAAATAATTACTATTTTCTTCAATTCACACATAAATGGAAACTTTTATGAGGGTTTTTTTTTTTTTAAAGATTTTATTTATTTATTTGACAGACAGAGATCACAAGTAGGCAGAGAGGCAGGCAGAGAGGGGGAAGCAGGCTCCCTGCCGAGCAGAGAGCCCCTTGTGGGACTCGATCCCAGGACCCTGAGATCATGACCTGAGCCGAAGGCAGAGGTTCAACCCACTGAGCCACCCAGGCGCCCCCAAACTTTTATGAGTTTTATAAGTTTATTATCTTTTACCTGTTTCATTAGTTCTTTATCCATATCATTTGCCATGGACTCCTGGAAAGATCGCAGAGCAAGTCTATATAATGAAATAGTATCTTGACACTGGAAACACTGATGAAGGATTTTATCTAAATTGCCTGCTCTTCCAGCACTGTTGGAATTGAGAATAGATTTAATTTCTTACAGACAGCCAACATCTGCGAAAAATTTGAGATAGATAAAAACAATGTGGTCTCTATTTTTTATACTTCAAATGAAAACAGAAATTCAATAAAACATGATATAGGAATATGACACTTTTATGGGGCTGCTTGAGTCATCAGTATTATTTTAGTATACTATTTAGCTCAATTCAGTGAACACATACTGGGAACCTACTATGTGTCAAACAATTACTGCACATTATGCAACACAGAAATGAGTAAGTCATGGTTCTAATCATCTAGAAACATGCTACCTACATACAGGAAGCAGGAAAATAATTGTAAATGTTATTAGTTAGCCATGCAAGTTAAATTTATTTAGAGTCAGGATTTAGGAGCCATCAAGCTAAAGACAATCAGTAAATAGGGTAGTTTGTTTTAAAATATTACACATTATTCACCAATAGTTTCTTTTTTAAATAGGAAGATATATAGAGAAGAAAAAATAAACAAAAGTTCTATAGGCCCTCTCTATAGGCCTAATAAACTTTCTAAGGGCCTAATATATATGGGAAGCCATTTCTTTCTAAATTGGCATTGCTGTACATCAATTTTATTTAAACCAAAACTCTCATTTATGCCCCAGCAGGCACACATTGTACATCTGCCTTGTAAATGAGCAGCCTAAAGGAAAACCATCTGTCTGTAAGATATGGACCAATGGTCCTACCGTCTGCATTTTTTGATGTTAAAACACATGATTCCTGCCTATATCATTTTTCAAGCTTTTACAAGACATAAAAAAGATATTTAACCCATAAGAACTGTCCATTCTCCAGAGCACTTTCTTCCCCATGAAGATTGTGTTTCCCGGGCAGCTGTCCTAAATTGGGCTCAAATAAAACTCTCTTTCTTACTTTTAGAGGTTCTGAAAGTTTGTTCATTTTGTGTCGACACTCTTAAAATAGCTAAATCCAATAAATATTATGGAATGTGTGGAAAGGGACTCCTGCTTTTGAAGTGGACTCAGTCCAGCTTCTGATGTTCACAGAGGCCAGACGCACTGGAGACAGTGGAAGAAGATTGTGGGAATATCACAGGCAAGTCAAAATTTTAGAAGATGTTTTCATTTCAAATCTAGTTCTCAAGATGAGAATGTGGAATTAAGAGCCAAGAATATGAGATTCACGGTCTAGAATAGGAGTCGGGAGTACAATTACTGTCCATTGCGATGATTATCAAAACCATATTCATCTTTTTTGGTCTCTGGTTGTGAAGAGACAAAGTAAGGTGAGGTATTGAAGAAGAAACATAGTTACACTTTGTAAGGCTTATCTAAAGGCAAATGACTAAAGGGTATCTAGAACAGAAAATCTAAGATGAAAGGTTTATCAGGATATAAGAATAGAGACAATGAAAAATTCCTATATACCTACCTACTAATAATATTCAAGGACACCCCAAAACAGCATGTGTTTGCCTCAGTTGTCCCTCACTTTCTCAAAGCTAGGGGCCTCAAACAGGTGACAAGGAGCACCCATGGGCCTCATGGAGGGCAAAGATGGCCTTCACTGGCAACCTCAGACAGGGAAACAATGTGATGCAAATGAGATAACTATATCCAACACGTTCTTGTAATGCATGGGCTATCACCAATCTGCAGTCATGAGTCACATTCTCCCAGGATGTTAGTATCACTGTTAGAACACACAGAATCTGATGTGAGTGGCTCAGAGAGACTGCCGCAATGATTGTTCTCAGTTTCACAAGGTGAGGAAGCAGTCTGCAGCAAACACAAAACATGCAGATCATGTAAAATCGCCACCACTTACCATGCGATCACTTTGCCGAAAACGGTGACATAAAGGGCATTGCAGGTCGTAGCAGAACGACAGTGTCGTTCTAACTTCTTCTCCTGCATCAGTTTACCAGAACACAAAACAAACACAAAAACACAAAACCACCCTGAAATGAAACTGACTTTACTACAGAGCCTTCAACAAATATCCCTGGCAGAAATGACACGGTTCCCACCACCTGAATAGTGACATCACTGCTACACAGTGGTGGACCGCAGATGTTCTGCTTTTAAACATTCCTGCTTAATATAATATAAGAAAGTAAAACTTAAGCCCCAAATGTTTTTTATTGCTTTTTCTATATTTGTTAGTAGTTTAAGAGCCCATGCATTTAACAATCAGGAAACTTCAATTTCCCTTAACACAATAGAGAGTTCCTATATTGAATTTTAAGTCTCATATAAGGTGTTTTATAGGAAAGCTGATAGATGTAAAAGAGCAACAAAATTAAAAATACTTACCTGCTCTTTACTCAATTTAATGTCCACAGAGTGGCATTCTGCAATTATAAGAGATTTTGCATCTTTTGGATTTAAAGGATCAAGATGAAGTGTAGGCCATAACCTTTTATTCAAAGAAAAGAAAATGAAATTCTCTTCTAAGAAGACAATAAAAGCTGTAATCTACCCAAACACAAGTCAAAATCCATTACAAGAGTTAATTTTTTATATTGCTTTTATAAAGTAAAAAAACTAATCTCTGTTAATCTTATTAGGTAATGTTATTCGATTCTTTTTAACATGTATATCATTACTTTCAGGAATCAATCCCAACAAAGACTTTTAAACAGCATAGGCAGTAAAGGTGGTAGAAGTAAAGTGGTAAAACACTTCCAGTTCCATGTTCCATACTAATAATAAAACTAAACACATTAGTACCTATGAAGAATAGTACAAGGTAGTGTTTGCCCACAAATTACTTGTAATCCAACTGGAATGTAATCACCCTGTAAACATCCATTCTCAACAGGGTATTGAAAATTGTTTCAGGGTGGGGGAAAAAATCTTACTCTTTTTATTATAAAGTGCAAGTATACAAACACATATCTGTTTATATACAAAAACTGATATATAGCATAATGATGGTATTAAAATTTCTTGGGGTGAGGAAGGTGATTAGGAAGAAAATATCTAAAAAGGCTCTTAAGGGGAACAAAAATATGTTAAGAAACACTGCCCTACAGAATTCAACCACTGTCTTCCTTTTTTGAGGACTGCCAAAGTAAGCACATGTTTGAGGATAACAGGTGTCTAGTCTCATAGCCCAGTCCTCTCCCTATTCTTCTCATCTGTAAATGTCATTGCCTGCTAGCCATCACTAGCTGGAGGTACAACTGGCAACTCAGGCTAACCATGTCCAAAACAAAACTTACACCCTTTCCTCCACAAACCTGCCCATCCTCTGTGTTCCCTATTTCAGTTCATGTAACCATAATTCACTTAATTTCACAAGCCGGAAACTTGGGGACCATCTAGCCCGCCTTGACATCCCAGCTCTAACCTCCCACCAAAGCCTATAGAGTACATCTTTCTCCTGAATTTATCCACTTCTCCCTGCCTTCCTCCCTGCCACTTACATGAAAAACATGAAAACACACACACACATGCAAAAACCTTTCCCGGTTTGTACTTAACACATTCCATGTAATCTGAAAGAACTGGAGTGAGCATCGTACCTCCAGGCTGGAGGGCATGTCTCTACATTCACAGAAACAATTACTCTTACATTCACTGGCAGTGGATCGATCAGCCATTTCATGTGTTTTTCAACTTGCTTAAAAATATAAAAACAAAATTCATTCTATTAATTCAAAATATTTCAAAACAATCTGGTAATAGCTCCCCAAGTAAAATGAAATTGTCATTAAGTTTCCCATTATTATTAAGGATATACTCTTGTTTTGGGATGATAAATTCAATCTCAGGATATTAAAAGAACAAGTGGCAAAATACTATTATAGCTGATACGAATTCTGGACACTTAAGGAAATGTCAAGGCCCTAGAAATAAGTCAAAATTAACATTTTTTGCTAATTGGTTCATTCAATTGGTCTTTCCCAATAAGATACTAGTGTGTATTGGCATACAGTACATTTTTTATGCACGTGTTTCCTCCCTAGGAACTGAACAGATATACTAGAAACAACACCAACATATTCTTGTCATAAACATATTTAAATGCCTGCTATAGCCATTACTGATAATTTTGTTTCTTTCTGAGAGTACCAGTAGGTTACGAAGTGAAAACAGTACCTGAACTTGATCTATGGAATCAATAATGATGATGATGCTGCCTTGATGACGGGCAGAGAGTTTTTCCAGCCAGCGTGGAAATTCTTCCAGAAGCTTAGCTGGATCCAGTGTTAGAGCAGATACTGACCAAGAGTGTTGCATCAACTGCAAGAATTCAAGCAGTTACACTTCATCACAGCTGGTGGGAAACATTTTTATCCTGACTTTTTAAACCAAAATTGAGTGATCAAGAGGAACCAACTGCATCAAGTATTTTTAACCTTATACAAATCTAAAACAAATGGGTAATGTTGAAGATTGTAAATTATTGGGTACTCAGCCCTAACAGCTTCTGATTTTAATAAAAATTCTGATAATCCCAAAACATGGCATTTTATACCTTTAGAGTTAGTCGTTTAATAATCAAGGAGGACTCAGAGCTGGTTGACATGGGCCTTCCCACAAAATGAGAAAGAATTAGCGTGTTAGGGGAATTCTTCTGTTGTAACTGAATCCTGAAAGAAAAAGACCTTTTAGAATAGTGATGAAACTCATTTATTATCAACAAAAAAAGAATTCACAATGCAATTAAACATCAAGTGCTACCCAACTGTCAGCAATCACATGGTCAATCACTTCTGAATAAACATGGGACATTTCCATTTTTAGTCCACTTTTAGATCCTTTTAAATAAGCATTTAAAAATTACAGATTCATTTTAATTACAAGTTGATATTAATGAATGGAAACCAATATAATATACATTTGAGGTTAATGTATTAGTGAAATGAGCATTACCCTTTAATAAACAGAGGAAAAAAGAAGCTTGTTTGCTAAGTACAAAAATATTATTTTCCAAAAAACTATTATTTTCCACTAAATAAAAGAGCAGTAAAAAGGAAGAAACATATGCTAACTCTTCAATGTAAATCATAATTATGAAAGAAAATATTCTTACGAATTGTTTTTAAATAATAGAAATGAAAATGAAAGTAAAAAAGAGTTTATCAGTTTCTATAAACCTTAGTCCCTAATCTGAGGAACCACTTTGCATTCACAATACAGGTCATCCTTTATTTTGATGTTCTTTACGACTTATCTCATTCTAAACAGTCTGTCTTTGCCTTCTTTCAAATATTTAAAATCTCAATGAAACTTTGAAGATGAAGCGGGTGATTGAAAACACAGGCACATCCCCTGTATATCTAGTTCACCTAATTCCATTCCACACGGACCACTCCCTTACATAGCACGGCTTAGCTCTAACCTTCGTAATTAGTGTACACAATCACAAATGGCCCTATTTTCTATTCCTTTCTCATCCTGTATCCTAATATTCAAATTGTATATAGTTCAGGGCGTGACTCTATTATTTTATATCTTTATTGCTTTCTCAATGTTTAGTACAGGCCATGCAGGAAGGCAGACAGGCAATAACATATTTTGTCGAATATGGTCAGTGAGTCAAATAATGACAATGGTAACAACAACTTAATTGCACTGTGTCATACCACTTTGATAAGAGAAGGGACTTTCCGGAACCTGGTCCTCCAGATACAAGAAGGGGTGGAATTGGTGCTGGTGCCGCCACTAGATCGTTAAGGCGCTGGTAATACTAGAAAGAAAAATGAATTTTTAAAATTCAGTTAATTAAATAAATTAAATTGTGAGGAAGCACATGCTTTGGAGAATTCTAGAGTCAATTTCTGACTACCCTCTGAAATCATTAGTGAAAAGCTGTGTGAGAAAATGAAATCTACTTTTAGTCAACAGCCTCCTCATGATTGCTTTTTTTTAATGGCTGGTTAAATGTGCCCAAAGTGGTAAACTAAGAGTGAGCCCCAATTTCTTCTACATATAGTACTTCTGTAAATTAATGGTTGAGAGACAACACTGAGATCCCCCTTGGGTTTTACAACATTGGGATTTTGCAGAATGCTACAGGGAGGCCACTGTATTCCCCTGCATCCCCTAAACCACAGGAAGTACCGTAGAAGGCTTTGAGGGTGCCGGCAGGCAGCCTCATTCTCCTGGGCAGAAGAATACCTGTCCTGGACACCACCTCACTTTCCAGGGATTTCTGAGAATCAGTCCAAACAAGAACTGGTTTTGTCTGGGTGCTTTATCTCAAGTCTCCCAGCCTGAGGCAGAGAATCAGCTTAGGACCCGCTTCCTGAGAGCTTTCTGAAATTGAGTGAGTTCTCAGGCTTTCCCCAGACATTAAAAAACTGGCTTAGAGATGAAAAGAACACACTCAGGAAAGCAAAATACCTCAGTACTTATTAGGGAGTTGGCAAAGTTATTTTGGGGATTGAGATGTTCATTAAGTATGCCAGGGGTCTAAATGACAGCTAATAAGGAATTTAAAGAACTTGTAATAAGTAGTTTGTGCCTAGCGTTAGGGTAGCAGAAATTTCCAACAGCTACAATAAATAATTATTTGGTATAGTTTTTCAATTAAATTTTCTGTTTGCCAATATATACATAGAATATATTCCTCAGGAACTCAAATTATTCTGATAGCAATGGTGTTTCTCAGAAAGCAAAGGACTTTATTGATTTAGGAACCTATAAATTCATGGTTCCACATAAAGCCCATTTATAGACCCATGGTTCCTGAGTTAAGACCATTTGCCACAGAAGAAAGACATAGAAGAAAGAGCCAGAAGACCTAGGTTTAAATCGCAGATCTGTAATCTACTCCATGTGTGCTCTTAGGTTCTTTATTTATGAAACAATGATAACAATACCTCTCTTACAAAATAAAAACAATTTACATTTATCATGTGCTGGGTACTGTGCTAAGGGGTTGATGTGTTTTATTTGCTTTAGTTCTCCCAACAACCCTGTCAGGTAGGTAAAGTAGTCAATCTCATTTTACAGACAAGGAAGTCAAAGTTCAGAGCTAAGTAATGGTCAAAATCCAGAGTTAGCAAATGGTAGAACCAGGATATAAACAGAGACAACCTAAATTATAAAATTTCTATGAAATTACTGTTTCTGACAGCTATGATAATATTCTTTAAAACACTTGTTGTTGGAGCACCTGGGTGGGTCAGTCAGTTAAGCGTCTGCCTTTGGCTTAGGTTATAATCTTGGGGTCCTGGGATCAAGCCCCGCATGGGGCTCCCTGCTCCCTGCTCTGTGGGGAGTCTGCTTCTTCCTTTCCCTCCACCTCTGCCCCCCACTCCTGCTTGCTCACTTTCTCTCAAAATAAACAAACAAAATCTTAAAAAAAAAATTGTTCTTACATTAATTTTTAAATACTAATCATTCTTTGAACTTGGACATAGATTCTTTGTGCACTTTAAATTCTGTTAATTTGTTTAGATATTTAAGGATGCTGATGAACTGATCAGCCTATTGCATTAACTACTGTGGTATTTTCTGAATGAACATTTTGAGTCATCCAAGCTCTGGAAGAACAGATAGTCTCATGATTTTTATCAAATTTCTTAGTTACCCTAATGTTGGTTTGGTGAACTGCAGGTGATAGAGAACATGTGGTTAATAAATCCTAATCTTAACTACAAATGTTTGATGTTCAAAAATGTAATTGAATCTCACTTATCTTTCATATGATACAAAGTTAAGCACATGTCTCAACATGGATAATCACACCATGAGGACAAACACTAATACACTTATTAACCTTGACTATGTTTAGGTAAAACCACAATCACAAAACAGCCTTAAGTGGCGACTGACGTTTGTCGGAACAATAACTCCAAATGCTTACTTTCTCGAATCCCAGCTCATGGGCTGAATTTGTAGCCTGTTGGAAAGTTTCCATTTGCTCTTGTTCATCATGTATGTCCCAAAGAACATCACCAAAATCATCTTCTTCTGGAACAGAATCTTCACTGCCCAAATCCTTAGTCTCTGGGTCTGTGTTCTCAAAGCCCAGGATGTCCTGAACACCAAGAGCAAGCACACAACAATGAATAAAGAGTGGAAACACCTCGCAGCAGTGTGAGCACACAGGCCTAAGGTGGGTTTCACCTATGGTGGAGGGCAAGTCCAAACCTATGACCTTTGTATGGGGCCTACATGAATGATTTTATTTATTAATTTTTTATTATTAACAGTTAGCCAACATATAGTACATCATTAGTTGGCACGTGCTGTGATGAACACAGGGTGTTATACGTAACTAATGAATCGAACATGACCTCAAGAATAAATTTAAAACTATAAAAAACACCAGTAGAAATAAATATTAAAATGACAAACATAAAAAAACCCCCAAACTCTTAATAAAAAACTTTCATTAAAAATAGAGGTACAGGGGCGCCTGGGTGGCTCAGTGGGTTAAGCCTCTGCCTTCGGCTCAGGTCATGATCTCAGGGTCCTGGGATCGAGCCCCGCATTGGGCTCTCTGCTCAGCAGGGAGCCTGCTTCCTCCTCTCTCTCTGCCTGCCTCTCTGCCTACTTGTGATCTCTCTCTGTGTCAAACAAATAAATAAATAAGTAAAATCTTAAAAAAAAAAAATAGAGGTACATGGGGCACCTAGGTGGCTCAGTGGGTTAAAGCCTCTACCTTTAGCTCAGGTCATGATCTCAGGATCGTGGGATTGAGCCTCGCATTGGGCTCTCTGCTCCGTGGGGAGCCTGCTTCCCCCTCTCTCTCTGCCTGCCTCTCTGCCTACTTGTGATCTCTCTCTCTGTCAAATAAATAAATAAAATCTTAAAAAAAAACAAAACAGAGGTGCGATTAGGGCACCTGGCTGGCTTAGTCAGTAGAGTATGTGACTCTTGATCTTGGCATCCTAGGTTCAAGCCTTATGCTGGGCATAGGACTTACAATAAAACAAACAAACAAACAAAAACAACTGTTGAATAAAAATAGAGGGGCATTTGACTCTTGGGGATCTGTTTTCTGAAAAATGTTACACAATGTATTTGCTTATATCTGGTTGGAGAATAATTTTAAAGATTGTGCTAATACCTAAGAAATATGCTGCATTACATTTTTATAAGATTTTAATTACTAAGATGGAGTTTCTTGATATCAAATATCTGCGTCATGATATCTAGTCTTTATATCACTGAAAATACATTGTTCTTCAAGCAGTAAAGACAGCAAATATGTCCACTCTCACTTGCTACCATTTATTCTGCTCAATTAATTCTATTTACTAGGATCCTAAAATTCACAACTTATTGAGAAGATCAAAACTCATGTCAATTTTTATATTAAAAATTGAATTTTATATTAAAAATTAAAAAACACTATACAAAATGTGTTGCCCAGAAGTCATATCATCATGTTTTGGGGCTCATTCTTTTTCTCTGGTAACAAATCTCATACTTGTAATACACCTTAATTAGAAAAAGTAATCTAATCCCTAACTTCTCAAATAGAATTTCTGGCACCCTGGAGGATGGATCAGCAGGTACAGGCAACGGCAGGCTAACTGTGGTACATCTTGCCATTGTGCCTATTTTACTTTTAAGGTAGGGGCAGGTTCTTTTTCTTATCATTATTAGAACTTTTGATAGTATGTAATTTAAAATGATTTTTTACATTAAACACAAGTATAACATTAAGCAGAATATATAACTCATATAACTTTACAAGATAATACATGAGATGCTGTAGAAACTTTCCGCTTGAGATACTGTCTATGACCCATAACGTCTGACCCATTGAGGTATGATTTCACCTCCTCTGCTATAAGAATGATGTAGTAGATAAATTTGAAAAGGATTTTTTTTTTTTTTTGAGAGTGACTGTGCATGTGCAAAGGGCTGGGTGGGTGTGGGTTGGGGAGGAGGGGCAGAGGGAGAGGGAGAGAGAGAATCTTAAGCAGGCTCCATGCCCAGCAGAGCCCTACGTGGGGCTCAGTCTCATGACCCTGAGATCATGACCTGAGCTGAAATGGATGCTCAACCAACTAAGACACCCCTGAAAAGATTTTTTTTTAAAGATTTTATTTATTTATTTGACAGAGAGAGAGAGAGAGAGAGAACAAGCAGAGGGAACAACAGAAGGAGAGGGAGTAGCAGAAAATCCACTGAGCAGGGAGCCCAAAATGGATCCCAGGACCCTAGGATCATGACCTGAGCCAAAGGCAGATGCTCAACTACTGAGCCACCTAGGCGCCCCAGGGATTTTTCTACTTTATAAAAATTCAAAGTGCATACAAAACCTGAGGAGACTCTATTAATAAGATAAACATTTTCCCTCAAATACTTATACCTTTTATCTAGCACTTTTGTAATCTATTTTACATTCAACCTAGTGGTGAGGCATCAAATAGCTTTGTGAGATAGACGACAGATAAAGAGATATGGTACTGGTAATACTATGATAATACCACAGGATAGACAACCACCAGAAACAATGGCACTCTCTCCCCCAGTATTGTTTTAAAAAAAACTAGGAAGTTGTTTTTACTGGAACACCCAACTTGATGGATAAGAGTTTTAGAATTCTTTTTTTTAAGTCAGTTCTATGCCCAACATGGGGCTTGAACTCACCACCAAGATTGAGGATTTCATGCTCTATCGATTGAGCCAGCCAGGCGCCCCTTAGAGTATATCAGATGAAATCTTATAAAGAATGCATATTTACCTGTTTAATAATCTTTTCCACATAAATATAAGTTTTATATACTCCTTCTGTAGGATCTCCAGAGTGATCAATGATCTGGAAAAAGAAAGAAGTTCGACAAAAACATGAAGAAAACAATAGTAACAGGAGGGGGTAAATACTTCTACAGAACTTATATATCAGGGATTATTCTAAGTGCTTTACACTATTAGCTCATCTGTCCTCACAACAAGCCTATGAGGGAGACACTATTATTATTATTATTATCCATTTCACAGAGAAGGAAACTGAAGCATGTTATGTAACTTGTTTGAGGTATAGGAGGGATTTATCATGAACAATGGGAACAATGTCACAATAAAACAAAAAGTATACTTTTTTCTTATGGTGTCCAAATTGTCTTATGTACTTCCATGCCACTCAATATATATAATCTTCAAAATACATCAAAATCAATTTTTATGAGAGTAAGGCTATAATTCTACAAAACAAAAGAGCAAAATGGTACTTGGCTACATAAAACAGTAATCTTCTGGGGCTCCTGGGTGGCTCAGTGTGTTGGGCCTCTGCTTTGGGCTCCGGTCATGATCTCAGGGTCCTGGAATCAAGCCCCGCATCAGGCTCTCTGCTCTGCCGGGAGCCTGCTTCCCCCACCCCCTCTTCCTGCCTCTCTGCCTACTTGTGATCTCTCCCTCTCTCTCTGTCAAATACATTAAAAAAAAAAAAACTTTAAAAAGAAAAAAAACAGTAATCTGAGTTTGCTGAAAGAAGAATGCCCTACCTGTAGAGAACATGTACGTTGCTAGTAAATGATTAGTATTTGATAGAGTAAGGCAATGGTTTTACGAAGCACATCAAGTGAACCAGAATAAGTTCATCCTGCATTTACATTTATAATCATGGTAGACAGATCTTATTTTACTCCTATTTCTATAAAATAAATTCATCCTTCTAGTGTTTTAATTTTTAAAAGACATTTATAAATAGAATAAAGATCAGAAAAGAGAATCAGTTTCCTGCCTCTTGGGGTCTATGGACTAGGCTCATACTAAAACAAAGCAAAGCAAAGAATTAATGGTTCTGGAGATTATAAAAAAGGTGTACTTTTTTGTGTTAGGTTTTTTAAAGTTATACTGGTCTTAAGCTTTTCAATACTAAATGATGTATAAAAAATGCTTGTATTCATATCTGATCTTATTTCTTGAATGAGCACAGAGAAATAAAAACAATGTCAAAATCTGAGTTATTTTCAACTGTATTTTTTTTTTAAGATTTTATTTTTAAGTAGTTTCTTCACCCAGCATGGGGCTTGAACTCACAACCCTGAGATCAAGAGTTGCATGCTCTTCTGACTGACCCAGCCAGGTGCCTCTCAACTGTATTCTTAACATTAACAGTAAGCATTTTCAGGTAATCTCAGTGTGCAGTAAGGCAAAGCGTACAACTCTGTTCTAAAAAGTATCCCACCATGCATCTAGGAATGATCAAATCTCTCACATTCATCATTACAGTTTTGTTTTTCCCCATGCTCTTAGCAAAGGTTACTATAAAAAGGTTCTTCCTTACATTGATCCTTAGTCAACAGTAGACAGAAGAACTCCATACTTAGGGGAAAAAAGGAACAGAAAAAAATCTGATTTGTCCACTTTTTGTAGGTGTGTATTGTTATTTATTCCTCTCTTTTTCTCACAGTCCACAACTAAGTCTATTGGCTCTGCTGTCAAAATTTATCCAGATTCCTGTTTTTCACCACTTCCTCTACCACCACCCTGGTCCAAGCCACCAGCATCTCTCACCTGGTGACTACAGGAGCTCTTCTCCCCTACCTCCAAACCAATCAATTCTCAACACAGCAGCGTAAGAACTCCTTGTCAGCCCCTGGGGCTAATAATACATTATATGTTAATTAAAAAAAAAAGAACTCCTTCTCAGAATGGCACTTCTGTGCTGCTTAACATTTTCCAATGACTCAAGTTAAAAAAAAACTCCAAGTAAAAAAACCCATCTCACTCCAAGTAAAAAAACCATCTCATTCCAAAAAAAAAAACAACCAACAAAAACCACCAAGATTTCTAAAATGGTCTCCAAGGTTCTTTACCCTTGGCTCCCAGGTAACTGTCCTATTTATCTCCCCTCACTCACTCCCACCTCATGACCTTTGTTCTAATACTTCCCTTAGCCAATCAAGTTCTTAAAAAAAATAACCTTAGGAATTTTACCTTGGCTTTGTTGGTCTTGTTCAGGTTAGAAACTTGATCAATCAATTGCTGGACGGAGTCGGAACTGACTTTCCCATCCTCCAAGCGATGATAAATTAATCGTGGTTTGCCTTCAGGGTTTTTCAGAAAAGCTTCTTCACAGTCTTCCAGTAAAAGGCTAGATCGGAAATCAGTATTTCTTGTGCTACACTGCACTAGGGCAGCAAACTGTCAGTCAACCTAAGTGTCAATAATGGGACTTTACAGGGATAACAAGGGGCCAGAAGCAGTCCAGGGACAGAACAAGACCAGCTTTCCAAAAGTAGATGTCTCATAGCTCTGTTCCAGCTTAGTCACAAAAATACGATGTGTTTATTACCAAACAGTGTGAATGGGTACAATAAGTTCTGCATTAAATTGAGTTTTAAAGCATACAGAACTTTAAGTTTTTATATCTAGCAACAAGAAGAAAACTCTCAAAAATACTGTAAACATGGCTCAAAGTAATGGACCAGACATATGAGACTACAATTAAATGGAAACCTAATTCCACTTACAAATATATAATTTCCAAATTAAGATACAAATATTATGAACCCCAATGCTTCAAGATTTTTCTCTTCTCTAGTCCTTTAGTCTTTCTCATTCAATAAATGCCTTAAATGACTTGAATCTTTATACCCAAGATACAGTATGAGAAAGATCCAGAGCAGATGGGGGAGGTCAGATGGCTAGTAAAAATCTTAACTGAGGTACAAGGTTAAAAAAAATTCTAACTTTTGGGACACCAAGGTGGTTCAGTTGGTTAAGTCTCTGCCTTCGGCTCAGGTCATGACCTCAGGGTCCTAGGATCAAGCCCCACGTTGGGTTCCTTGCTCTGTGGGGAGTCTGCTTCTCCCTCTCCCTCTGTCTCTTTCTGTCTCAAGTAAATAAAAAATAAATAAAATCTTAAAAAAAAGTCTAACTTTGCTACAGGCCACCATAACAAGTTTTCAGTATAATTTAAATTCTAGAATAATCTTGGAAGAATCTGCCAGTGTTTTCTACACAAGGAAAATTGCAACCAATTCCTCTTTCTAAAAAGCATTAAATGATATCTGTTTAGATACACAAATTGGTGTGTGTATGCAGAGGAGAGCTATGACATGATTCAGAATTTACATAATATATTAAAATACAGACCCAATACAAAACAGCATAATATTCTATTATATAGCTCTGTGCCAATCCAATCAATCCAAGCCACAGATTTTTTTCCCTTGTTACAATTCATTCTGACCATGCTCTATATAATTTTTGTATTTTAACAGTTCTTTTGTTATTGCTTTGGGAGAAAAGTTTGTGGTCATGTGAATACCAAAGAATGGGCATCTGTTTGGGCACAAGTTCCTATTTTAAAATGACTCCCTACAGAAATGACTTGTGGAGCTCAGATGAAATCTGAGATTATGTGGAATTTGGTTCAAAGTCTTTGTTGGGAGATAAGTAGATATGGCTACTGGGTACTGCTCAGGGGACATGTTCCTAGACTCATCTTTTGAGAAGAATGGGGAAATCATCATGAGAGATGAGGAACAACCTGAGAGAAATAAAAGCTCTAGCAGCCTCTGTTTATGGTGTGAAGCCCACCATTACTGCCATGCTTCTTGACAGCCAGTTAATAAACATTAAGGAAACAAAATAATCAGCAAATGGGATAAAAAAATTAAATCAAAATAAAGGCAAAGTAGAGGTGAAGAAATAGTTAAAATTTTAGAAATTAAATTTTTTAAAAAAATTATTTATTTATTTTGGAGAGAGAGAGTGAGTAAGTGGGGGGAGCAGATACGGAGGGAGAGGGAGAAAGAGTCTTAAGGAGATTCCATTCTGAGCATGGAGCCCTACACAGGGCTGGATCCCAGGACCTTGAGATCATTACCTGAGCCAAAACCAAGAGTCAGACCCTTAACTGTGTCACCAAGGCAACCCTAGAAATTAAAATTCTTACTCTTTAAGAAGAGTAAAGTTTTAAAAATATAAAATAAATATAATTTTAGGTGAAGAAGACAAATTGAAATCTGCCCAGTAAAGTAATTCAATATGAAAGAAATGGCAGGTAAAAGATTAAGAGGAATTTAAGATGAGGAAAATAAATGTTAAAAGTTTAAAAATAATGTTCAATATTTTATTAACTAAATATGGATAAAAGATAAAAGAAAAAAACAAGATGGTTCTAAGAATTAAAGAATTAATGAGGAAAACAACAAATAACATCTATTACTGCCTGAGATAAAAGACTACCCAGACATTAAATAAAACAGAATATATCCTTGATAAATATAAAAGAAAAAACAAGAAAAGAAAAGAGGTAAGGGAGGAAAAGAACTCCAACTAAAGGCAACCAAGTGGAAAAAAGTCCTAAACTTGGTTTTGGGTTAAGGTTCATTGACCAGGTGGTTCCCTGGTCCCCAAGTAGTCTCAAGGATCAATGATGGATTACACTGCAGGGTCTCTGGTAAAGCCTAGGGCTCCATGTACTTCTGTACACAGGCGAGGTCAGAGCTGGTCCTCAATAAGGACAAAATGCCTTGGAAGGGTTAAAGCCAATCAGATAGCAAATGAAGAAAGAAAACCTCTTATTAAAAGTATTTTGTCTTCTATTTATGTATCTAGTTGGTTAAAAAAAAATCTTTATTTGCAGACTAGACTCAGTGGTATAATTATATCCACATTATAAGAAAATTGCTCACTTTACTGGAATTACTGGTAAGCTCCTCAGAGAATTAAAAATTTGGATTTAACATTTTTACAAGTGTTCAAGTAGCTCTCAATTTGTATTTGAAGAAAGCAAATAATGAAGGTGAATGCTGATTATTGAAAACAGGAGTTGCCAACTTGTTCTGTTATGGCCAGCGAGCATATACTTTAGGCTTTGTGGGACACACACAGTCTCTGTTGTAACTATAGTACTTAACTCTATTGTCATGGTGTGAAAGCAGCTATAGAAATACATAAATAAATGAATATAGCTATAGTTTAATAAAATTTTATTTATAAAAGCAGATCCTGACTGGATTTGGCCTGAGGGCCATAGTTTGTTATCCTTGATTAAAATGATCTTTACTTTAATAATGTTAACTTTATGACCTATTAAACAACTCAAATAGTGTAAAAATTTTAATTCTTTAAGTATGAAAACTCAAAAAGTTTACTGAATTTTGTGGATGTTTTTGATTAAAAGAATGCAATTATGACTTCTCTTTGAAGTTCATTTCGTAATCTCAATTCTATTTATAACTCCCCTAATAAGTGACAATTTTCAGCTTACCTTGGTAAAGTTAAATGAATAAATAAAATAACTAATGAACTCTTCTCAATTTCCCATTTTCTTATAGCAAGGTATTGATTTTCAATATCTATTGGAAAATATATAGCATGGAAAAAATATCCCATTGTCTCACACATTCTTTTAAGTTTAGGTGAATAGTCCTAAAAAGAAATTAAAACAAAAGAAATGAAAACATAATAAAAGGCCAGCTTATTTAACTAAAGATCAAGTCGGCTTTATACTACTTAAGAAAGCATGTTTTAGAATAGCTTATGTTGTATATATTTTTTATTTAAAATTTCAAAATATATATAATCATATTTTACAAAAATCTTTAAGGGAAAGGCAAGGTTCCTTTAAAACAAAAATAAGAGCATAGTAACTTGGCTGTTTTCTAGCTCAGAAAATGATTTATTTCATAATAAAACCTAAACCAGTGAAGAAAAGTATTAGGCTATTTTCCTTTGGTATTTATTATTATAATAAATTATTTCTGCTTTATTGTTACAAAGAGTAGAACACGTAAATCCATGAATCTACATAGTAAACTGCCAACCATGATATATAAGATCATTAAAGCAAACAGGTATAAATGAAAACTATTTGGTCTATAACAAATTAGCTTACTAAGTAATGATGACTTATTATTATGCAAAGTATGAGGAATTCCCTTACCATCAGTTTGCAGTTTGGTAATAACCTATATTCAGTTAGTGAGTAGAAACTTTGGTTTTCAAAATATTTTATCTTTTTACCAAAACCGAATAATATAAAAAAAGAGCACTAAATGAGTTCCTTACTCAATACTCTGGTGAATGTTAATATAGCAGGTCTCGCATGTGACATACAGACGTATTTCAAATGCAGTTAGAACGGTAGTTGGCAAACTTTTTCTGTAGAAGGCAAATATTCTTACGATTTAGTAATAGTTGAACAACTTGGATGTTTTTGCAGAGGTCTCTGATGCAATTTATTCTGTCCTTGTAGTGTGAAGCAGCCATAGACAGTATGTAAATGATAAGCCTACTTGTGTTCTAATAAAACTTTATTTATAGACACTAAAATTTGAATTTAATATAATTTTCACATGTCACAAACATTCTTCTTTGGATTGATTCCCAACCACTTGAAAAGGTAAAAAGCAATTTTAGCTCTGGGTCATGCAAAAATCAGCTGCAGGCCAGGCCTGGCCCACAGGCTGTTGTATGCCAACGTCTGCCTCAGGTTAACTCCAATGGCTGCCTTGAAAAATTAAAAACCATGATAAGGACTAAATTTTGTTATAACCTGAAACAGATTCAATGCTAGAGCTGGCAGATTATTAACTAAAGCAGGCACTATCAACATGTGTCTTAAACACTGTGGAGAACAAGTAATAAAGCATTCAAAAGCATAACATTCCAAGGACTTAATCTGAATACACTGGTAACACTGAGCAAGATTTTCTCTAAAGAAAAGCTCTAAGTTATTCCGGTTCTTTAAGACATATCCTCTGGTAGGTAGTAAACTACTTGGTTTAGATGTAGTAGTATCATAAATAGGACACAATACTCACTTATATTTTAAATCAGTGAAATCAGAATTTATAAACATCCTCACCTTAAGGAAAAGATCCATTTCAGGCTGGGTTTCATCTGTATAAATGAGGTAACATCTGACAGCGTTACTCCAGAGAGAGTGTGAAAACAAGGGAGTAACTTGTAATAAACTAGCTACAGCAATATCCCAGTCATCTGAAAATAAAATTTATCTTAAGTTCATGAAAAAAAAAATCACTAGAAAAAAATTTGACAAGATGATTTTTTTTTTTTTAAAGTCTGCAAAAACACAACAGACAAGGTAGAATGGAATCTGATCTCACTCATGAATACTGACAGTTTCTGGAATGACATATTACAAGGCAAACAGTTCTCTAACCTCAAATGCTATCGTTGGGAAGAAAGCAATCAAGGTAGCCAGTGGTCCCTGCTGGGGTACCACTGGTTCCAGTCAGATATCATGAACCTATGTTACATGAGCTGTTCAATGAGTTTGCAACTTTGGGAGAGCCTACATTCCCAGGCTGGCCTGTAGTTTTACCTATTTATTATTCTTGAGATATATAAAGTCAAAAAGAAACTTTAAGAACGGCATAAAATGTAATGCTATTTAGTGAGAAAGAATATTTTAAGACATACTTGGCTAATTCAAAAGGCATAATTAAAAATTATTTTCATGTCGTTAACAGACAATTTTGTAGTTTTAAGAAAAAAGAGTGGAGCTACTTATAACACTCAGATCTGCACTGGTATTGAAATTCTGAATAGACCTTACCACTGTTTTGGACACCAAATTATATAAAAATAATAAAAAGGAGGGAGTCAAGATGGCGGAGAAGTAGCAGACTGAGACTACTTCAGGTAGCAAGAGATCAGCTAGATAGCTTATCTAAAGATTGCAAACACCTACAAATCCAACGGGAGATCGAAGAGAAGAAAAACAGCAATTCTAGAAACAGAAAATCAACCATTTTCTGAAAGGTAGGACTGGCGGAGAAGTGAATCCAAAGCGATGGGAAGATAGACCGTGGGGGCAGGGGCCGGCTGCCGGCAAGCGGCGGAGCAACGGAGCACAAAATCAGGACTTTTAAAAGTCTGTTCCACTGAGGGACATCGCTCCAGTGGCTAAACCGGGGTGAAGCCCACGCGGGGTCAGCGTGGCCTCAGGTTCCACAGGGTCACAGAAGGATCGGGGGTGTCTGAGTGTCGCAGAGCCTACAGGTATTAGAACGGGGAAGCCGGCTACAGAGACCAAGCCAAGGAGTGAGCTCTCAGCTCAGGATTACCTTGAACCGGTTGCAGGCTCGGTGAGCTCGGAGCGTGGCCCGAGGCCAGGGTGACGGGAGTAATTGGGCACTGTTCTCTGAGGACACACTGAGGAGTGGGGCCCCGAGCTCTCGGCTCCTCCGGGCCGGAGACTGGGAGGCCGCCATCTTCATTCCCGTCCTCTGGAACTCTACGGAAAGCGCTCAGGGAACAAAAGCTCCCGAAAGCAAACCCGAGCGGATTACTCAGCCCGGCCCCTGGTAAGGGCGGTGCAACTCCGCCTGGGGCAAAGACACTTGAGAATCACTACAACAGGCCCCTCCCCCAGAAGATCAACAAGAAAACCAGCCAGGACCAAGTTCACCTACCAAGGAGTGCAGGTTCAATACCAAGGACAGCGGCGGAATTCCAGAGGAGGAGAAAGCAAAGCATGGAACTCATGGCTTTCTCCCCATGATTCTTTAGTCTTGCAGTTAATTTAATTTTTTTTTATTTTTCTTTATCAATTTTTTTTCTTCTCCTGCTAAATTTTTTTTAACTTTTACCCTTTTATTTTTTAACGTTTTTAAACTAGTTTATCTAATATATATAATTTTTTCTTTTTTATATTTATTCTTTATTCATTTTCTTTTTTAATTGTTTCTTTTTTTTTTTTCTTTTTCTGAACCTCTTTTTATCCCCTTTCTCTCCCCCACGATTTAGGATCTCTTCTGATTTGGTTAAAGCGTATTTTCCTGGGGTCTTTGCCACACTTTTAGTATTTTATTTGCTCCTTCATATACTCTTATCTGGACAAAATGACAAGGCGGAAAAATTCACAACAAAAAAAGGAACAAGAGGCAGTACCGAAGGCTAGGGACCTAATCAATACAGACATTGGTAATATGTTAGATATAGAGTTCAGAATAACAATTCTCAAGGTTCTAGCCAGGCTTCAAAAAGGCATGGAAGATATTAGAAAAACCCTCTCGGGAGATATAAAAGCCCTTTCTGGAGAAATAAAAGAACTAAAATCTAACCAAGTTGAAATAAAAAAAGCTATTAATGAGATGCAATAAAAAATGGAGGCTCTCACTGCTAGGATAAATGAGGCAGAAGAAAGAATTAGCGATACAGAAGACCAAATGACATAGAATAAAGAAGCTGAGCAAAAGAGGGACAAACAGCTACTGGACCACGAGGGGAGAATTCGAGAGATAAGTGACACCATAAGACGAAACAACATTAGAATAATTGGGATTCCAGAAGAAGAAGAAAGAGAGAGGGGAGCAGAAGGTATATTGGAGAGAATTATTGGAGAGAATTTCCCTAATATGGTAAAGGGAATAAGCATCAAAATCCAGGAGGTGCAGAGAACCCCCCTCAAAATCAACAAGAATAGGTCCACACCCCGTCACCTAATAGTAAAGTTTACAAGTCTTAGTGACAAAGAAAAAATCCTGAAAGCAGCCTGGGAAAAGATGTCTGTAACATACAATGGTAAAAATATTAGATTGGCAGCAGACTTATCCACAGAGACCTGGCAGGCCAGAAAGAGCTGGCATGATATACTCAGAGCACTAAACAAGAAAAACATGCAGCCAAGACTACTATATCCAGCTAGGCTATCAGTGAAAACAGAAGGAGAGATAAAAAGCTTCCAGGACAAACAAAAACTGAAAGAATTTGCAAACACCAAACCAGCTCTACAGGAAATATTGAAAGGGGTCCTCTAAGCAAAGAGAGAGCCTAAAAGTAGCAGACCAAAAAGGAATAGAGACAATATCCAGTAACACTCACCTTACAGGCAATACAATGGCACTAAATTCATATCTCTCAATAGTTACCCTGAATGTTGATGGGCTAAATGCCCCAATCAAAAGACAAAGGGTATCAGAATGGATAAAAAAATAAAACCCATCTATATGTTGCCTACAAGAAACTCATTTTAGACCCGAAGACATCTCGAGATTTAAAGTGAGGGGGTGGAAAACAAGTTACCATGCTAATGGACATCAGAAGAAAGCAGGGGTGGCAATCCTTATATCAGATCAATTAGATTTTAAGCCAAAGACTATAATAAGAGATGAGGAAAGACATTATATCATACTCAAAGGATTGTCCAACAAGAAGATCTAACAATTTTAAATATCTATGCCCCTAACATGGGAGCAGCCAACTATATAAACCAATTAATAACAAAATCAAAGAAACACATAACAATAATACAATAATAGTAGGGGACTTTAATACTCCCCTCACTGAAATGGACAGATCATCCAAGCAAAAGATCAACAAGGAAATAAAGGCCTTAAATGACACACTGGACCAGATGGACATCACAGATATATTCAGAACATTTCATCCCAAAGCAACAGAATACACATTCTTCTCTAGTGCACATGGAACATTCTCCAGAATAGATCACATCCTCGGTCCTAAATCAGGTCTCAACCGGTATCAAAAGATTGGGATCATTCCCTGCATATTTTCAGACCACAATGCTCTGAAGCTAGAACTCAATCACAAGAGGAAATTTGGAAAGAACCCAAATACATGGAGACTAAAACATCCTTCTAAAGAATGAATGGGTCAACCAGAAATTAAAGAAGAATTGAAAAAATTCATGGAAACAAATGATAATGAAAACACAACGGTTCAAAATCTGTGGGACACAGCAAAGGCAGGCCTGAGAGAAAAATATATAGTGGTACAAGCATTTCTCAAGAAACAAGAAAGGTCTCAAGTACACAACCTAACCCTACACCTAAAGGAGCTGAAGAAAGAACAAGAAAGAAGCCCTAAACCCAGCAGGAGAAGAGAAATCATAAAGATCAGAGCAGAAATCAATGAAACAGAAACCAAAAAAACAATAGAACAAATCAATGAAACTAGGAGCTGGTTCTTTGAAAGAATTAATAAGATTGATAAACCCCTGGCCAGACTTATCAAAAAGAAAAGAGAAAGGACCCAAATAAATAAAATCATGGAATGAAAGAGGAGAGATCACAACTAACACCAAAGAAATACAGACAATTATAAGAACATACTATGAGCAACTCTACGCCAACAAATTTGACAATCTGGAAGAAATGGATGCATTCCTAGAGACATATAAACTACCACAACTGAACCAGGAAGAAATAGAAAGCCTGAACAGACCCATAACCAGTAAGGAGATTGAAACAGTCATCAAAAATCTCCAAACAAACAAAAGCCCAGGGCCAGACGGCTTCCCGGGGGAATTCTACCAAACATTTAAAGAAGAACTAATTCCTATTCTCCTGAGACTGTTCCAAAAAATAGAAATGGAAGGAAATCTTCCAAACTCACTTTATGAGGCCAGCATCACCTTGATCCCAAAACCAGACAAGGATCCCATCAAAAAAGAGAACTACAGACCAATATCCTTGATGAACACAGATGCAAAAATTCTCACCAAAATACTAGCCAATAGGATTCAACAGTACATTAAAAGGATTATTCACCACGACCAAGTGGGATTTATTCCAGGGCTGCAAGGTTGGTTCAACATCCGCAAATCAATCAATGTGATACAACACATTAATAAAAGAAAGAACAAGAACCATATGATACTCTCCATAGATACTGAAAAAGCATTTCACAAAGTACAGCATCCCTTCCTGATCAAAGCTCTTCAAAGTGCAGGGATAGAGGGCACATACCTCAATATTATCAAAGCCATCTATGAAAAACCCACTGCAAATATCATTCTCAATGGAGAAAAACTGAAAGCTTTTCCGCTAAGGTCAGGAACACACACGGCAGGGATGTCCATTATCACCACTGCTATTCAACATAGTACTAGAAGTCCTAGCCTCAGCAATCAGACAAAAAAAAGGAAATTAAAGGCATCCAAATCGGCAAAGAAGAAATCAAACTACCACTCTTCACAGATGATATGATACTATATGTGGAAAACCCAAAAGACTCCACTCCAAAACTGCTAGAACTTGTACAGGAATTCAGTAAAGTGTCAGGATATAAAATCAATGCACAGAAATCAGTTGCATTTCTCTACACCAACAACAAGAAAGAAGAAAGAGAAATTAAGGAGTCAATCCTACTTACAATTGCACCCAAAACTATAAGATACCTAGGAATAAACCTAACCAAAGAGGCTAAGAATCTATACTCAGAAAACTATAAAGTACTCATGAAAGAAATTGAGGAAGATACAAAGAAATGGAAAAATGTTCCATGCTCCTGGATTGGAAGAATAAATATTGTGAAAATGTCTATGCTACCTAAAGCAATCTACACATTTAATGCAATTCCTATCAAAATACCATCCATTTTTTTCAAAGAAATGGAACAAATAATCCTAAAATTTATATGGAATCAGAAAAGACCTCGAATAGCCAAAGGAATATTGAAAAAGAAAGCCAAAGTTGGTGGCATCACAATTCCGGACTTCAAGCTCTATTACAAAGCTGTCATCAAGACAGCATGGTACTGGCACAAAAACAGACACATAGATCAATGGAACAGAATAGAGAGCCCAGAAATAGACCCTCAACTCTATGGTCAACTAATCTTTGACAAAGCAGAAAAGAATGTCCAGTGGAAAAATGATAGCCTCTTCAACAAATGGTATTGGGAAAATTGGACAGCCACATGCAGAAAAATGAAATTGGACCATTTCCTTACACCAACATGAAAATAGACTCAAAATGTATGAAGGACCTCAATGTGAGAAAGGAATCTATCAAAATCCTTGAGGAGAACACAGGCAGCAACCTCTCCGACCTCAGCCGCAGCAACATCTTCCTAGGAACATCGCCAAAGGCAAGGGAAGCAAGGGCAAAAATGAACTATTGGGATTTTATCAAGATCAAAAGCTTTTGCACAGCAAAGGAAACAGTCAACAAAACCAAAAGACGAGGAACAGAATGGGAGAAGATATTTGTAAATGACATATCAGATAGAGGGCTCCTATCCAAAATTTAAAAGAACTTATCAAACTCAACACCCAAGGAACAAATAATCCAGTCAAAAAATGGGTAGAAGACATGAACAGACATTTCTGCAAAGAAGTCACATAAATGGACAACACACACATGAAAAAGTGCTCAACGTCATTCAGCACCAGGGAAATACAAATCAAAACCACAATGAGATATCATCTCACACCAGTCAGAATGGCTAAAATTAACAAGTCTGGAAATGAAAGATGCTGGCGAGGATGTGGAGAAAGGGGAATGCTTCTACACTTTTGGTGGGAATGCAAGCTGGTGCAACCACTCTGGAAAACAGCATGGAGGTTCCTCAGAAAGTTGAAAATAGAGCCACCCTATGACCCAGCAATTGCACTACTGGGTATTTACCCTAAAGATACAAACGTAGTGATCCGAAGGGGCACGTGCATCTGAATGTTTATAGCAGCAATGTCTATAATAGCCAAACTATGGAAAGAACCTAGATGTCCATCAAAAGATGAATGGATAAAGAAGATGTGGTATATATACACAATGGAATACTATGCAGCCATCAAAAGAAATGAAATCTTGCCATTTGCGACGACGTGGATGGAACTAAAGGGTATCATGCTTAGCGAAGTAAGTCAATCGGAAAAAGACAACTATCATATGATCTCCCTGATATGAGGAAGTGGAGATGCAACATGGGGGGTTAAGGGGGTAGGAGAAGAATAAATGAAACAAGATGGGATTGGGAGGGAGACAAACCATAAGTGACTGTAATCTCACAAAACAAACTGAGGGTTGCTGGAGGGAGGGGGGTTGGGAGAGGGGGGTGGGGTTATGGACATTGGGGAGGGTATGTGCTAAGGTGAGTGTTGTGAAGTATATAAACCTGGCGATTCACAGACCTGTACCCCTGGGGATAAAAATATATGTTTATAAATAATAATAATAATAATAATAATAATACATGAGAAAAAAAATAATAAAAATATTCCTTTGACTAAGGATACTACAATGCATAACTGAGGTTTTATATTCCATTCTGCAACCTTCTCCCACCTTTAACAGCATCAAAGACATGGAGGAAAAAGACCAAAAACTTCTGCTTTTCAGTTAATCTACATTAGATTCTCACAGATCAACTGCAACACCTGGAATTCAGACCAGAAGCTAAGTTTCTAGAACATGATGGGCCAGTCTGGCTGTGGAGCACCATCTGATCCTGATGGGAATCATATAAGTTAATCAGCCCTGGTCAGTGACAACACCAGTACATGCTGGTTTGGCAGTAGAAGACACCCAGAATAAAAATCTGCTCTGCTGATGGGTCTTTCTGCCAGCACACACAAGATTATAGGACCTGAACAGTCACTACCAAGGTAATTGGCAAACGGCATGTGTTACCTCTGTTGACATTTGCAAAGGGTCCCTCCACATCTATGGAACTATGGGCAAACTCAGGGCCCCTGAAGGACTGCTGAAGCTGGATCATACTCCCTATGGAAGGTTCACTTCCCAAGGCTCCTGCAGTCCAATATTCACACTGGGTTCCAGCAGCTGTAAATCCAAGAGATTTCATTGTGTGAAAACCAAATTACTGAATGTTCAAAAAGTTATCACACATACTAAACAGGATTTCTAATTTTTAAAAAATTCTATAATATTATAAATACAACAAATATTCAATCTTCAATGATTTTGAAAGTACTCTGTCACCAACTTCTGGCAAGTTGTAAGGTACTGGGTAACATAATTCTGGTTAGCATCTCCAAGTCAAAGAGGGGATTAAAAAGAGAAAGAGGAAACAAATAAAGAATATAATAATCAAAGTAATTGTAAAAACAGAGGCAGTTAAAAATGTCCCCATACAAAAATTTTAAAGAACATTTCTAACATTATGGTTTAGGTGTCAGTGTAAAATTGGAAGGAGAGAATTTCAAAGGAAGACCAGTACTCGCACATCTGTAATTAAGATTAGTAATTCATTAGGATGTAAGCTAAGGATGTAAAAAGTACATCTTCCTTAACCTCCGAGAGTAACAAAATGAATGTCTGAATCAATAGGTACTTTTGAACATCTTGATTTTTTTTTAAAGATTTATTATTTATTTATTTGAGTGAGAGAGAGAGAGAAGCAGACTCACTGCTGAGCATGGAGCCCTACTTGGTGCTTGATCCCAGGACCCTGAGATAATGACCTGAGCTGAAATCAACAGTCAGATGCTTAACAGACTGAGCCACCCAGGAGCTCTTTGATTTTTTTTTCTTTTAAATAAATTACATTTGACAGAATATCTACATGGCATTCTTGACTAAATATGAGTATACTAGTAATGGGCTCAATATCTGGCAAAAATAAGATTATTATTTGTAGGTCTCTGAATGTGAAATGAGTGATGTTCCCTTAAGCATTCTTTCATCAGGTTTAAATCAAAATGTGAAGAAAGACCTAGGAGGAAATATTAATTTGTTCTTATTAACCTGCCAAATCAATTATAATATAATAGTTTTGAAACACTGTACATTTTAACATATGTCAGCCCTGAAATAACCATTACTAATGGTTAATGTGGGGGCAGAATGGCATTCTCAAAGCCAGTAAGAATCACTTCATTTTTTTTCCCCTTAAAAGTTAGTAATAAAAGTCCTTGGATGCTGGTCAGATCCCAGTGGCTCTAAAATGCATATTAAGAGGCAATTATCAGTTGCCATATTTCAGTCGAAAATCAGTTTATAAGATAAAATGCATGGGGTGCCTGGGTGGCTCAGTCTGTTAGGCATTGGACTCTTGATTTTGGCTCAGATCATCATCTTAGGATCATGAGATGGAGCCTTGAGTTGGGTTCCATGCATGGTTGCATGGTGCTTGCTTAAGATTCTCTCTCTCTCATCTACACATAACTCTCCTTCTCCCCACCAACCCCACTCACATCGTCTCTCAAAAATAAATAAATAAATAAAACGCAGTTTCCTATAAATGAGAGAGCAACTGCATTTTTCCACTGCATTTATAATAGAATCTTTTTCATTTTTCAATATCAATCACAGTTTATTAATATTTTCTTGGAACATGGTAGACCCTTTCATTTCAGGACTCCAGGCTTTTTATTTCTAGAAAAAACATATTTTACATGTTTAATTATAAAATAAAAACTTTCTGAGTAGCTTACAAAACTACCGGAAGCCACTCAGCAGATTATCATGCAGATATTCTAGTGGATAGTTGCAAAGAATATATCAATATGTGGAAAAACAAGATGACAGAGATGATGAACTGTTCTCCAATATCCATCCTCCCCTTCTTCCTTTAGTAGCAGAATTTCAAACTTTAGGTGGATACATGACTCTCCTACTAATGTTTACACTTTCCAATCTTCCTACTTGTTGTTCTGGCCAATGGGGTTTGGGGAGTAATCTGTATACCCTTCATATTGTGCTTTCAGGGAGAGGAACGAATTCCCTTCCCTCTTCCCTTGGCTAAAATGTAGATGTCGTGGTGAGACCTGGAGGAGCTGTCTTACACCAGAAAGAGAAAAGCTATGGGGTGAGTTTGGCAGAGCAGTAAGACAGAAGGAAACCTAGCACCCTAACAATGTCATGGACTTTAGGGAAAATTGCTGTTACAACAGCTGAGAAAGAGGGAAAAGTGCAACTCTATTTGTAAGAGCAACCAGTTTAACTTATAAAAGGATTCAGAGTTGGCTATATGATATCATTACACCTATACTGAAGGCTCAAATTATACATAGGAAGTAAATATACCAGTAACATCTGTACAGTTGTCATCTGAATCAGATTCTCCAGGATCAAATACTTGGATCCCCTGAGCCTGGAGCCTCTGAAGTTTGCTTTCCAACTCTCGCTTAGCTCTCAGTAAGTCCTGAATTTCATTTTCCTTGGTCTCCCTAAAAATCTTTAAAAGACAAAGATCAATTTTGAAACCTTTTCCATCATCAAAAGGTGTCATCAACTTAACAGAAAAGTGTTTCATTCATAAAACCAATATTCATGTGATCCTGATCTTTTTTGTAACTGGAACCCACTGGAATTTGGGCAGCAGCCCTCTCTGAGGTGTGGGGCTCTCCTGTGCACTGCTGCTATTTAGAAATTTGTCCCCTTCCCACTAGATGCCAGTAATGCCTTCCCATACAAAATACATCCAACTATTTCCAAATGCCTTTCCCCCCATATGGAAATACTTTCCTTTTCCCCCAAAATTCCATTTGTAATGCTCATTTCTTTTTTTTTTTACTTTTTCTTGAAGTGATCTCAAGTTTTCCAGGTCCACTCAAAAATGTACGAAGTGCTCTACTCTGGTTCTTAGAATCTTCAGGACGCCTGCATCCTTCACTTGTATTTACTTACACAGCATCATTAAACTTTTAAAATGTGCTGTTTTTATTCTATGTCACTTTGTGGGTAAAAACGTAAGGACTTTACCTTGAATTGCCTTTTCACTTTGTCTCTGTCATGTTCAAATGTTGCTGCCCTCTCCATCGCTTGGTATTTTGCTTCTAAAGCACTTTCCTTTTCCCGAAGTATTTTTTGGTAAGTTTTTTGAAGGGCCTGAAATAATCGACCTTGTTACTTCTTCTTCTTCTTCTTCTTCTTCTTTTTTATTTTTTTTAAAGATTTTATTTATTTATTTGACAGACAGAGATCACAAGTAGGCAGAGAGGCAGGCAGAGGGAGGGGGGTAAGCAGGCTCCCCGCAGAGCAGGGAGCCCGATGTGGGTCTCGATTCCAGGACTCTGGGATCACGACCTGAGCTGAAGGCAGTGGCTTTAACTCACTGAGCCACCCAGGTGCCCCCGACCTTGTTACTTCTAACGAAAAAGTATTCCTCCCAAATTTCACATTATCCTACCTCCATACTATATACATATGAGAATTTTAACAATCTACTTACTATTTTACATTATCAAGAACTACATATTGCCATTTTATTCAAACATGGAATAAAAATGCAAATATACTTGAACTGTAGTAAATGAAGATACTTCAACATTGAACTTTTAATGGAAATCAATACTTTTTCTTTGAAATACTGTGCCAAATTCTTAATCTTCCTATGCCTCAGTTTTCCGATCTGTAACAGAACAAAAAGTATAATTTACAAGGCTTAACTTGAAGGATGATTAATTCTGCATGACCATGCGGTCCTTGGCTCCATGTCTTCTTCATTTTGCTATCCCCAGAGCCCTCTTGGTGCCAGATAAATCGAAGGCCTCCATTAAATGACCAAATGGGTTAAATACATTCAGAAGAGTTTTTTAAATGTCTAGTATGTGAGAAAGGAATCAAAAGGGCTACATAAAAAAAGGGGTTAGTTAAGAAATCAATTTAGGCCCCAAGAGAGTATGTCCCCTTAAATTAAAATGTAATGAGGTTTTTACTTAATTTTCAAAACTACTACATAAGGCAATAGGAGGAACTTGAGATTGTGACATTTGTCAGCCCTTAACTGCTCTCAGCCCTGGTTGATTCAGCCTTCTTTCCTATCCCCATAAAGTGCAGTGAATGCTGGACAATGGCTTGGGTGCATGAAATCAGGTATCTGAAATGCAAAAGGTCCATTTTACACATGCAAGTGCATCAAGACTGACCAGTAAGAAAACTGGTTAAGACAAAAGGTAGACTACTGATAAGGAGTTCTTCCCAGATAACAGTGCTAATAATACAACAGCTAGTGGGGAAGGGGGTGACTAGAATGCCTAGTCTAGAAGGAAGAAGGCTCTTCCTATCAGAAAAATCTGAGATATTTATTCATTTTCTACTGTGATGAGCCCAGGAACACCTGGAGTGTCTCTTCCACAGTTTAAAAAAACAAAACAGTAAAACCACAACCCTCGGAGAGGCCCAAAACTGATGGCACAAAGTCTTACAATGTGGTCATAGAAAAGCAATATTTTGCTTTATATACTATTTTGATGAGTCAAAATACATCTACTACAGGGAGCCCACGCAATAATTATTTTTTGAGTAAATTAATCAAATGGATTAAGGGAATTTGATTTCAGCTAGGGAACGTTTGTAATCATAGCAGTTAAAATGGTGAAAATCAGGCTTCCATAAAAATTCACTTCAAGATCATTAAAACTCAAAAGCTTCACGCAAAGAAACTGAGAGGTCTGTAAAATTTAAGGGGGGGGGCGTGGGAAGTGGAGTTAAAAACTCCTAGGGAAAGTCACAGATGTCACCACAGTCTTTGTGCGTCCGTCCGTGTGCTCTGGGTTGACCTACTTCCCTGGAGTCCCCTGCAGATTGGCATGTGCTACTTCAGGGCACTTTCAGGCTAATTGCTTCAAGGTGTGTGAATGAATGAACCAGAAATAGAAGAGGGGCGGGGTTAGTCAAGGAATCAGTTTAGACACCAAGAGTGTGTCCCCTCAAACTAAAGTGCAGAGAGGTTTCTATTCAACTTTCCAGAACTACTTGGTTTGGAGAGGGGACAGGATGGACGAAGGACGGAGTCAGGCGTCCAGAGTCCAGCCCCGCAGTGCGCGGGTGTGCGCTAGCCTTTCCGACTCTCAGCTTCTCCACGTCTAGGATGCCCCAGCCGCACACCCGGGCCCGGCGTTACCTGCAGCTCGGCCCGCAGGCGCTTGTTCTCCGTGTCCAGCTTGGCCTCGCGGCGGCCCATGGACAACAACTCTTGATTCTTGCTGACCCGGAAGATCTCGTATTCCTTCTTCAGCCTCTCGTACTCAGCCGCTGCGTATTCCAGCTCGGGCACCGACGAGCCGGTAGACTTAAAGCTAGCCCCCAGCAGCCCGCCGCCCCCCGCCCCGCGGGGCAGCGACCCGGGCCCTGCCCCCGCCGCCGCTGCTGCCGCGCCACGGCGGAACGAGCTGCGCAGCAGGCGGGCCTTGGGCTTCACCTCTACCGGAATCTCGCAGGCCTCGCCGCCGCCCGCCCCATAAGTGTCCTCGATCACCTCCCCGCCCGCGGGGCTCACGAGCGACGAGGCGGTCCCCATTACGCCGGTGACCGCCACTACTAGCCAGCGGGGTACCGGGAGGAGGAGGACCACCGCAAACGAGACGGGGCGGGGCAGCAAGAAGGGGCGGAGCGTAGTGGGCGGGCGGGACGAGCGGGATGATTTGGAGCAGCAGGACGGGGCGGGGCGGTACGCAGGGCGGGCGCGACGGATGGGGCAGGGCAGCAGGAAGGGGAGAGACAGAGCGCAAGGAGGGCGGGGTGGGATGGATGGGGCGGGGCAGCAAGACGGGGCGGGACAGAGTACAAGGTAGGCGGGGCGGGATGGATGGGGCGGGGCAGCAGGACGGGGCGGGACAGAGCGCGAGGAAGGCGGGGTGGGACAGCGTGGTGCTGTGGGTGCCGTACTACGCCGTGGTGGGGCGGAGCGCAAGGTGGGCGGGGCGAGCGGCTTGAGACTCAGAGCGCAGGGTGGGAGGGGCGGGATGGATCGGGAGAGGTGGGGCTGAGCGAGCAGGGGGCGGTGGCGCGTGTGGGGCGGCTGCTCTACGTACTGGCTAGGGGCCACGGGGCGCGCGGATTTTCTCAGCCGGTTCTATCCAGCCAGAGGCCCCCTAATGGGCGCGTTCCTCGCCGTGAGCGCCGGTCTGGGTCCCGGCTTGCTCCACCTTGGCGGCTTTTGTGTCTGTCCTGCTGCTGCCCCTGACCCATAGCTCTTTTCCGAGGGCAGTTGAGAAAGCTGAGAAACACATTGAGCGCTTGCTGTGTGCCTCTCGCTAGGTGTCTCCTAGTTTGCAAGTAGTTGGAATGACCATTAAGACCTAGTACCAGATAAGAAAAAGCTTTTAGATTCTACAGCCTGAGACCACCAGGGACACTCTTTAGACAAGGTGAGGTTTTTTGACTTTTTGTGACAGTGGACTCCGGAGGCCACACATTAGGGGAACTGTGGGACATCTCACCAAATAAAGGGAAAGAGTATTACAGTTATTTGGGGTAAGGATGGGCTTTAGGTGATATGAAAACATTTAAAAGATGGGGAAACTGTTTTAGACTTTAAAGTCAGAGGAGTAGCATTGACATCTTTTCCTACCCTTCTTGTGTTCTTAGGCCTGCAACTGGCTAACTTGGGCTAGCAGGCTCTCCAGGTTTGGAGGCCTGGGAGAGGGGACCGGAAGGGCTTTATCTGATTGACACTCCTGCGAGCTGGGTGTTGGTGCTCTTTGGACTTGGTAAACTGCTAAAGTTGGCCTTTTTTTCCCCCCGGAGGTACTTTTGTAAGTTCTCCAAAGACCCTTCTTCCTCTCATAATTGAAGACCCTTGATCTTCATTTCCCTTGACCCAGGCTGGTGCGGCTCTATTCAAGCTGTTGATCCCTCTCTCCTCAGGGGCAAGGAATCCAGTGATACATTAACCATCTTCTCTGCTCATGTGTGTTCAGGTTCAAGAGAATCCACTAGCTCACTTGCCCATGAGACCTACATCTGATCCACAGGTATTACAGGTCGGGTTCCCTGGGAAGATGGAGATGGAGATAACCATGCAAGATGTTTATTAGGGAGTGCCCTTGGGATCAATACCTGTGGAAAGGAAAAGAAGCACGTTTGTATAGCAGCAGAAGTTGAGCTGTTGAGCTTTGCTGCAGTCTCAGTGGAGGCCTCAGTCAATCTTCAGAGAGTTTTGAAGCTGGGATGATACTGCAGAGTTGTCCTAAATTGGGGTGTAGGGCTGGGGCTTTTTACCCTCATTCCAGCAAGTCATCAGCTAGCTCTCTTCAGCCAAAGCAGTCCCCACGGAGACTTGACAGTTGAGGGCTGTTTGCTGACATCACTTCCAGTGGCTGGAGGGACAAATCTTTCAGTCATCACAACATCTAACAGTCTTTGCTTTGAAGAACTCTGGGAATGCAGGCCAATCTGCATCATCCTTTCTCTTACCCTTTAGATTTTCATCAAGAGGGAATCAGACATCAGGCCATTACATTCTTTAAACTCCAGGAGACATAGATTAAGTTTTCAGGTTGTCTCCTGAGATTAAGGAAAACATTCCCACCATCACAGTATCTCAGGAACTCTCTGTCTTTTAAAGTCCCTTCTGGGGGCACTTGGGTGGCTCAGTCGGTTAAGTGCCCAACTCTTGATTTTTGCTCAGGTCATGATTTCAGGGTGCTGGGATGGAGCCCCTGGTCATGTTTCTCACTTAGGGGGATTCTGCTTATTTCCCTCTTTCTCTGCTCCTCTCCTGCTCACTGGCACACAGGTGTGCTCTCTCTCTGCCCCTTCCCTGTGCACTTGCACACAGGTATACTCTCTCTAAAAATATATAAATCTTTAAAAAAAAAAAACAAAACCTCCCTATCTCTTCCAATTCTTGTACCCTCAATATCGATCAGTGCTTTAAGGATCATCCACCAGGTTTCTGACCACCTCCTTTGCAAAATTCTCCATTTTAATCTTTTTTTTTTTAAGATTTTATTTATTTATTTGACACAGAGAGAGAGAGCACAAGTAGGAGGAGTGTCAGGAAGAGGGAGAGGGAGAAGCAGGCTCCCTGCAGAATAGGGGAAGTCTGATATGGGACTCGATCCCAGGAACCCAGGATCATGACCTGAGCTGAAGGTAGTTGCTTAACCAACTGAGCGACCCAGGCACCCTGCATCTTAATCTTGTACCTCCTTTAGAATGTGCCTCAGCTAAAGACTTCCGTTATTATGCTTCCATAATGAAATAAAAAGCCATCACCCATTCCCTCTAAACCAGTAACGAACTACACTAAACTTCCCACACTTTGTGGAGTACTGAGTACTGGTACTGAGTGCCTGGTACTGAGGGCCCCAAAGCAATGAGTCTCTCCTTTCCCCACTTCTCATCTATCCAGACATCCCTCTACCCATGTTACTCCATCCTAGTCAAGCTGATTTTCTCCTCATTGCAATATGGTTTCTATTTCCTTTCAGTACTTCCTGTCAACCCCCAACTCTTTCAACATCTACCTTTTTCATCTAAGAAACTTTCCCTGGATAATTAGACCTGTTGCCTTTATCACATTAATAGTTTCAATTCAATAATCCTTGCTTACTATTTGCAAAATACTGTACTTAACTGTTTTCCTGATTTTGTCCTCCATTATTGTGTCTATCAATCCTGTTTCTTGGTAGTTTTTGTTATTGTTATTATGCCATTTGTTGCTTAGACTCATCCCAGCTACCCTTATTGAACTCCTGCTGAATATATGTTTCAAAAAATGAATGACTGATGACCCAAAGAGATATTAAATACAGCCCAGTTCTCAAGAAGTATGTGAATTGTCACCGCCTTCTGTAATAACCGTTATTTTTTAAAAAAAGATTTTTTATTTGTCAGAGAGAGAGAGAGAGAGGGAGAGAGTGTGCGAGCACACTGCAGGTAGAGGGAGAAGCAGGCTTCCTGCTAAGTAAGGAGCCCAATGCATGATGTGATCCCAGGACCCTGGGATCATGACCTGAGCTGAAGGCAGATGCTTACCTGACTGAGCCCCCCAGGTGTCCCCCTTAATAAACTTTAACTAGTTGTTTCAGTTGCCCCAAAACACAAATCCAAGTTTGCTGAGATCGTGGAAGGTTTTCCCTATATAGTGATTACTAGCTGCCTTTCCATCAGGAACACTATGTGTAAGTTCACCTTGCATACTAACCTTGAATAACTGTTGGTTAATGCTTAAGTGACCCAACTGGGTGAGCCCAGAGGTGATCCAATCTAGAGTGCTGGCAGTTACTCAGGATAATGGTGTGGTTGGTTTTCAACGTATTTCCTAATCCTAAACATCACTGAATTTAGTCTAATATTTAGTCTAATTTCCAACCTAATAATTTGTTTCCCTTCTTTATGCTGAATTTAATGCACCCACCACAAACTGCATTTTGAAAGGATAGCTTTGAATACAGAAGTATGGTGAGGAATGAAGTCTCTGGCAGATAGGTTGTGGCTAATTAAGAATGGCTACAATTTTTTTTAACACTACTTTAAATGAAAGGTGAAGTTTATGATGAGGATGGGATATATAATTTGTGGGATCTAGTGTAAAATGAAAATGTAGTGTACTTTTTTTTGTTGCTGTTGTTGTTTTTTAAAGATTTTATTTATTTATTGGACAGACAGCCATCACAAGTAGGCAGAGAGGCAGGCAGAGAGAGAGGAAGGGAAGCAGGTTCCCCGCTGAGCAGAGAGCCTGATGCGGGGCTTGATCAGAGGACCCAGGGATCATGACTTGAGCCAAAGGCAGAGGCTTTAACCCCCTGAGCCACCCAGACACCCCTGTAGTGCACTTTATTAAAAAATTATAAAGAATTTCAAGATGGCAACAAAATTAAACGAAGTCTGGGATCCTTTTGTGTTTAGCCCTTGCGGTTCTTCAAGTGTCGTACATCCATGACTCCAGCCTGTTTATGACTCCTCCCCTTGAATCTGGTTGGGCTCGGTGACTGCTTTCACCAGTAGACTATGGCAGAAATGACACTGTATTGGGTTCTGAGCCCAGGACTTGAGAGAATGGCAGTTTCCTCTTCCTGTGTCTTGGAACACTCTCTCTTGGATCCTTGAGTTGCTGTGTAAGGAGACCTACCTCACCTGAGATTGCCAGACTGGAGAGGTTATGTGTGGACATTCTAGGCAACAGTTCCAGTAGGACTCAGCCTTCCAGCCAGGGCACGTGAAGTGAAGCCATCTTGGTTGGACTCTCCATACTAGAGAGTGACTCAGGTTAGCGACAGGGAGAGCAGATGTATTATTCCAATGATCTCTACTCAAATTCCTGACCCACAAAATCATGAGATATAATAAAGTTGTTAGTGTAAGCCACTGAATTTGGGAGTAATTTCTCACACTTGGAAGAAGAGAAAAATTTCCCCACATTTGGCTAAAGTAGTTTTTGAAATTAATGCCGCCTTTAAAAAATGTGATTTGTAGGGGTGCCTGGGTGGCTCAGTAGGTTAAGGCCTCTGCCTCCGGCTCTGGCTCCGGCTCAGGTCATGATCCCAGGGTCCTTGGATAGAGCCCCGCGCGGGCTCTCTGCCCAGCAGGGAGCCTGCTTCCTTTCCTCTCTCTCT